GTTTTTTGAGCTCCTACCAAGAAACCAAACAATCAATTTGAATGTGTACTGTCGACAGTTGGACAGTTTGATGTCTAGAGCTTGTTAATTGTAAAAGAGTTGTTTTCCATCCCCACAACGTGAGACCACACACAAGTTTGATCACCTGTCAAAAATTAGTGGAGCTTGGATGGGATGTGTTGCCACACCCACCATACTGGCCTGATCCTGCACTGTCAGACTTTCACTTGTTTTGCTCTCTTGAAAACTCCTCACATGGTATGACATTCAATTCAGATGAAGCTGTAAATCAGCATCTTGTTCAGTTTTTCACAAAGACAGGTCCTTCTGTGAACAAGGAATTATGAAGCTCACTGAAAGATGGCAAAAGTTTATCGAACAAAACGGGCAATATACCATTGATTGATCTTTGTTCTTTATATAAATAAATGACCTTTGAAAAATAGACAAAATACGTCATGACTTTTCTGACAACCCAATATATCTTTGATTCCATGAAAATGTGTCTTCCGGTGAGTGAAAGAAATCTTTGCTCTTAAGAATCTGACGCACATGCAAGGCTTAGTAAGATAAGCTCTGAAAAATAATTGAAGAAAGCAAGATCCAACTTGTCATGGATTTGTGGAGATGCGAGAGCTCAGCTCTTCATGGAACTATGGCAGTTAATTCAGGAAAGCATAAAGAGCCTTGACAGTGAAAAAAGGAGGAGAACATTTTTAGGGACATTGCAGGGTGTCATCTATAGAAGTTGGCAATTGGTTAGATAGGGGTGGACACGTGGAGATTAAGGAAAGGGAGTTATAAAAAAATGTTCCTGTGAGTCATTGGCAATGACAAATCAAAATTTCAAAATCCAGACATTATCATATAAGTTTAAGAAAAAAAATTATTTTCATAGCAAACCCAACTCCTGTTTTTCACCTGTCATAGAATTATTCCTGACAAAATTAGGTACCTACCTGAGACATACAGCTCGTCTGTTGGAAGGCAGGGACTTGTACCAAGGCAACAGGCTCCCTGTCCGTTCTTTAGATTTTTAAGTAAGATGCCTTTACTTTTGACATGTTGATTTTCCTGTGAAACTTTAACAGTAAGCCGATGTTTTTGTTTCCTAGCATAGTTGGTTTAAGTGAATTGGATTACTACTTTTATTTATTTCATAATTGCTTTCAGATTTTATATTGTGAAGGAAGCCTGAATATGGACCATGAAAATAGTAATATATGAGAATCTTAACAATGTTTTCAGGTTATCTTAGTGTTTTTCACTCATTATCCAATTAAATTCTTCTGATTTAATTCTGTTGAGATCAGCCTAATATGATGACCTTTATTTTACAGTAAGAAAACACATTCAAACTGAGAAAGTTTAAGCCAACTAAAACTGAGATACTAGAACTTTAACCCAACCTTTCTGACCCCCAATCACAAACAGCTTCTAGTTATAGGAAAAGATGGAAATGTTTCCCTTTAGCGTGATACAATTCAGAGCTGAACAGAACTTTAGCCATCGATTATTCCAGGAGTTGGCAACATTTTCTGGAAAGGATATACAGTAAATATTTTTAGCTTTGCAGGCTATACAGTCTGTTTCAAATACTCAATTCTACTATTGTTTCTCAAAACCAGTCCTAGACAGTATGGAAAGGAACCGTTCCAATGGAACTTCCTTTATAAAAACTGGCTGCAGGCTGGATTTGGCCTATGAGGTATAGTTTACTGATCCCTATTCTTCTCACCCCATTCTTATTTTTGAGAAGAAAACTAGTCTCCCCAGAGTCTATTGGGCTTATCCAAGCTTCTGGCTGGAGCCCAGAAATCTATTTAATTTACTATTATTTTATTCTAATATCTCTTTGTGAAGAGTAATTTAATGGTATCAGTCTGATTGACAAGATTTGTAACATCTTCCCCATCCTCAGTAGTAGAAGGTATAAATGGTATTCCAGTTGATCTTTCTATGTTGCTCATAGAATTAGTTTAAGTAGTCAATAATGTCTTCATGTGCTGATGGAAGTTCATCGATTATATCTTTCTGTGGAGACTTGCAAACATCCAGTCCCTAGACTGTTGATCTGCCTTTCTTCAAGATTCTTCACTTGGCAGCATTAAAGCAAACCCCACTGCAATTGTATTTCTTGAACTTGGCAGAATCTGATCACAGGAAATCTTAGACTTGTTCCTTGTGTCTCCCTTCAACACATATTCCAAGGGAGCTATGGTTTATTTAAGATAGATAAGTGGTAATACTTGTCATAATATTGGCTCAGTGGATAGAGAGTGCTCTCTTAATAGCAAGGTTGCTGGTTCGACTCCCGCATGGAAAAACAAAATACTTATCATAATACATTTTTTAAAAATTATGTAATTGTGGTAAGTAGTTTTTATTTTGCCGATCTTTGAAAAAGATATAACATATTTATGCAAAATAGCATATATAATATAAAACAACCAAGTATTTTCCAAGTGCTTATGATTTATAATTCATAAATCATGGACTCTACTGGAGATCTTAGTCGAAGACCAGCGTTTTGGGTCTACATCATAGCCCTAAGATTTCATTTTAGGAAACCTATCTTTATTACATTTTCTGCTTCTAAAAGACTTTGTGTTTTCTATTATAGTGGGCCAGTTGTGTTCCTCCACGGTACATGGCATTTAAAACAAGATTAAAAACAAGATAGGAAACTTTACCCCTTAGAGCTATTACCCTTCCAAATGTGTGTGTGTGTGTGTGTGTGTGTTTGTGTGTGTGCACGCATGTGTGTTCCAACCTTCAAATATTAACTCTTTGTTAGCAATCCAAAGACACTGTTTCAATTTTGAATAAAAGCTGATGCTATGCATCCAATTTAGCTGATTTTTTTTCCTCATGGAGGAGGATATTGAAACTATTTGCATACCATTATAAAATTCCCCGTTAAATACAGGAGGGAAGCCACAAAATGAGCCTGGGGGGGTCTACTGTTTGTGTCTGTATTCTAATTAGGCCATCCCTGCTGTAATAAATGAATTCTTATATGATCACACAGAGTTGAAACCCTGGTGGTTTCTAGGGGGAGAGTACAAATGTAAATGAAAGTTAATATCAGGCAGTGGTAGTATTTCCCATTTGTAGCAGACTTAAAGTAAGTACAAAGTTAAAGGAAAAATCAGAATTTATTTCCCAGTTATGTCCTAAGAATAACCTATGTTGCATTGGTATTCGGAGATGGAAGAGAACACATACTGGGATCTTCAGAAAAATAGTTTAGATATTATGCATTTTAATAAATGTTGAGGATTATTGAAAAATAAAAAGAAATGATAAGATTTTAGTTATGGAATATTTTGGACATTTTTTAAAACAATTTTGAGAATATTTGGAATGATAAAATTAGGTGAAGAAGGAAAACAAAGGAAAAAGAAAAACTATAAGGTAAACAAAAATAAATGAACTATTTTATTAAAACCAAATTATGCCACACCTACTGTATTATATTTAAAACAAAAAAACAAACAAAAACCAGTTTGTCTCTATGTTCACATCCTTGGTAGATTTCATCTCTTTGTAATATAGAAAGTATGTTGAAAGAAACTAATGTACATTGAATTTAATGGTGAAATGTTAATACCATTATAAAGCATGATTGGCTTTCATGATAGTTAGATAAATTCTTAGTTCCTTTCTCTGTGAAATGTTTATTTACATGTGTCAATTGTGACCAACTTTGGTGTACAATTTCATTGATGATCACTGTGATGCTGAGATATAAAATGCCATGAGAAATATTTATTGTTATGCTATATATTCATTCTGGGAAGAAGTAAGCTAATGAAGGATTGATTTGCAATAATTAGTAGTTAACATTCTGTTAAAGATTGTACTCAAGAAAGGGGAGAAGTTTATGTTTTCTAACACAAAAATGGTAGTACTTTTGTTAATATGGATTCAGGATTAATTGATGTATTTTTTCTTTTTCTTTCTCTTTTTTTTTTAGTCATTTATTGAGAGTACTTTTATATCATCACAAAAGATTCTTTAGCTATTGTTATGAACTGTAGTTTTTTATCAGAAGCATTTTAAGTACTTATAGTTTGTTGATTTTGGTCCAAGTCTATTCCAGTTTCTAGAATAGAGAACAGGTTCACTATATGCCTTAATTATCTTAGCTATTTTAAGCAGAATAGAGTTAGAATGAGTTTTTGAATAAAAACATTTTCCATATGAATTTTTCTCCATCAGATAGGCGAATTTCTCATGGTATTTTGGTTCTATTTTGGTGTAGTCAAGTAAAAAAGAGTTAATTATTTGAAAAGTAAAGTCTTTTTATAAAGCAGTAAGAAAATTGTCTTTCCAAGAGTTGTTCTTGAATTAACTTAACAAAAAACAGCATCATTTTAAAACAAAGTACAGAATAAAGGGTCATGTGCAAGATCTAACTTGAAAGGTCTTTGAATATGTTTTCTTGGATCTAGAGAAGCAGAGCGACATCTGCCTTTGATTATAGTTACATGGACAAATTCAAATTCTAGAGCTGTGCTTAAAACATTTCAGCCTACACAATGACAATGTTATGTTCTTGGAATATGGCACATGATGGTTATTTTTTAACATAATTATATATGTTTGGTCATCTTTGAAATAAATTATTTTAAAAAAGGTATCCATGGCAAAATCAGAATTTTTAATGGTTTAAGTCATGTCTATCTTAGAAAACTCAAAACTATTTGAATAAAGGTTTCTTTTGTTTCACAATTGATCAAATTAACTTTACAGAATCTGGTTTAGTTGCTACAATGTTTAGTTTGTGCCTCTATATTATTAAACGTTAATAAGAATGAGGGTTTTTTTGAGGCGTGGGTTAAGAAAATATTAGGAGAGTACTAATGCAGGGGAAGAAAGAATTAGCCATGCATCTGTTTTCACAGTAGTTTTGGCTTCCGAACCTCCAGAAATCAAATCACCATGGGCAGTTACAATCATGCTTATTCTGTGTGTTGTTTTGCTCCATTTTGCAGATTGTTCTAAATTTCACCACGATGGACTTATACAAAAGTAGTTTGTGCTGGTATGACTACATTGAAGTAAGAGATGGGTACTGGAGGAAATCCGCTCTCCTTGGTAAGAGATTATTTACCTTCTATGCGGCTACTCACTTAGCCTACCTGTCTAAAGACAATCGATTCTTTCAAGAGCAATCTTAGAGTTAAAATTGTATGTGACCAACATTTTAGTTTTTATTATACCTTTTTGAACCACAGCAAAAATACTCACAGGTAGGTCAATAGACTGATTTAAACTAGCTTAAATTATGAGGTAGTCCCTGAACATAATGATTTAGACTAGCTTTCACAAGCTTTATGCTTATAGTGTCTACTCATCAGTGTTTCTGTGTTTTTAATTTAAAAATCATAGTTTAATGAGAAAGCCAGATAAAATGTGGAGTGTGTGTGCGTGTGTGTGTGTGTGTGTGTGTATGTGTGGTTTTGTTTTGTTTGATATGACAGTAGAATGTAAGCTGTTAGGTACACGTTTGGTAGCTGGCTTGCTATGCCAAGCATATTATGTCATACTGTAGATGTCACCATTTTGCTTCTCAGGGAGTTTTCTTGTGGCTCAGAAGAGACATTTGTAGTTTGCATCATAAATTGTAGCTCAGATTTGGTGCTCAGGAAAGTCTGCTGCCAGTGTTTAACCACAGAGCACACCATTAACTTGCATGAAGCACTTTATTCTTGTCTTCTGTTTTATGTAAAGGTGAGAGCTAGGTGAGAGCTGCTGTGAGTGCGTCAGCATCTACTCTGTATTGATTTTTTTTTTTTGAGATTGTGACTTTTCCTTTATTCTTAGAAGTAGCTTTGCTCAGTTGTGTTCATGCGCCTTACAGATCTTCCTTTTTCTTACCATTTAAAACCTGCTGAATGGACACTGTTGTATTAAAAGTGACAGCAGCCTTCGTAAGTCCAACAGACCTATATGTTTAAAAGTGAGGAAAAATAAAGATGTGAATGAATTTGATAAGTCAGGTTGAGGAAAACATTGTTTTGAACATTTAGTTTCTTAGCCTAGAAAAAGCAATTTGTGATATATCAGTTCCAAAGAAAACGTTTCATTGCACTCATATTGGAGAATCAAATCTAAAGCTAAATATTGGAGAACACTTCTTTTAGAGCACCATCAGCATTACATGCTGTGTATGTGAGTGTCCCCCAGACTGCTTAAGCCTGATGATAGTTTTCATGTGGAAATCTTTCCCCACTATTTCTTCCCAAACCTTGCTCCTCAAAGTATAGCCATCATACAGTCAGCATCAGAATCATTTGGAAGGTAGTTAAAAATGTAGAAAATCAGGATTCATTCCATCCCTTCTAAATTAGAGACTATATTTTAACAGACTCTCTGGCAATTCATACGCACATTACAGTTTAAGAAACACTCTCTCTTTTACATGCCCATAGCTTACTTTTCCCGTTAGGAAAACTGTTCTTTACCTGTTAGTATGAATCTGTTGTATGTATTGTCATTTTTCATATTCTAAAACTAAGTATAATGTCATTGACAGGGGCATACAAAAATGGATGACAATATATTGTTTGTAGAATTATTTCATGTGCATTTTCATATTTAACCATTTTCGTCATTGTAAGAAAGTGTAGAGCTTGGTGGCAAATATACAGCAAGCTATAAATATTTGTGGAAGGTTGGGGGAAAGAAGAAGGAATGACAGGAATTATTATATTAATTTGGTATTATACTTGCCTATGGGTACATAACTAGAAAAAACTCAGAACTCATATTCAAGTCTTCTAATACTATTTGCTATTCTGCATACTACACCACAGATTATAGCCTTTATAGATGAGATGGAATATATGCAATAACATAAGGGAAGCATGGTGGTTTCCCTGACAGATCATCACTGAACCTGGCTTTGAGCTGAGATGCATCCCTAACCGTGCTAAGGACCAAACTGACAATTTAAACAGGTTCCTCAGGATCACTTGTACCTTTCTGTTCTTCATAGAATAATGTTCCCCATGTTACTGTATCATGTGACCTTTCACAAATATGTCTTTTGAGCTGGCTGTTTCTTCATTCTACAGATAGTGATTCTGACATCAGTTGGTTACTTAGGATTCTATGTTCTACTATTTTATAAATAGATACAAAAGGATTGTTTTATTTATCCACCTTTATTAAGTAAATATTAAGGCATAGTTATTAAGGATAGAGATAGGAATGAAATCAGGATATATATATATATATATATATATATATATATATATATATATATATATATACATACACACACACACACACACACAAATTAGAAAGCAATCAAAACATAAAGTCATATTTAGGAGTCTCTCTTTATCTTTTATTTTTTTCAGGTAGATTCTGTGGGGACAAACTGCCTGAAGTTCTTACCTCTACAGACAGCAGAATGTGGATTGAATTTCGCAGCAGCAGTAATTGGGTAGGAAAAGGCTTCGCAGCTCTCTACGAAGGCAAGTCACATTGTTTTAGAGATGACTTCCTCTTAGTTGTCTTAATGGAAATATCCTTCCTCTCAAAAAACAGAGAGGAAAAAAAACACGAAAAATACAAATTCATTAGAATGATATTGTAACTGTATTTTACTAATGAAGTTTTCTAAACCTGTATTATCATATCCACAAGGATGATTTTAATAAAAATACTCAGTAAATTTAAATTGCAAGAACAACCTGTTTTCCAGTACCAGTGATATAGTAACATATAAATGTTTTCAGGAATGTGTTGGCGAAAAAATGGCACACGGGTTCTTAAACTTCAATTTTTTTTTTTTCATGGTAATATTATAATATGAAGAAATGATCATTATCCTTTGTACTGAATGTGTGTCTAGTTGGTGCCTGGGTTGCTGAAATGCCCTGTTGTAGAAAACTGCACAGAAAGTGATTGTGGATATTTCTGGAGCGTGCTTTGTCTAAATGAGAGGGTCAGCATTCAGGGGAGAATTTACTAGACGCTTTGTTCTCTCCTCTAAAACAATTAATCAGCATTGTACTTCCAGGCTCTCAAAAGAGCTCCCTTTGCGTTGTGGGTGGAGACCCTTCTTGCTCCTGCCGCGGCCCGCCCAGGAGTTTAGGGAATTTAGAAGACAGAAAATTTCTGCTCCCTTTAAACTTTTCAGTAAATGGAAGCATTTTGTTTCAAAGATGAGCTGTATGGCAGTGAACAGGATTATTTAGATGGAGCCACAGATGTTGAGCATGTGATGCCATCCCCATTCAGCTATTTCACCTGAGGTCCCCAAACCAAAAGAAGCAGTTCAGAAGCAGCCACAACACAAACTCACATTGACTGAATTTGCAAAATCACAAAAGGTTGTTAAAATTTTTTAAATTGCAATTTTTTGGTTAATGTGAATTAACAGTGAGTAAAAAAAATCATCTATTCCTGTGCTAACTATTATCTAATATTTATAGTTAAGTGGCTAGGTTTTTTTTTTTTTTTAACCACCTAAATATTTACAACAGTACAACCAGCCAACTTGGATTTTTATAACCTGGTCTTTTTGGATTCAACTAGAGGCACTGAACTCAAATGTTATCTTGGGAGAAAATGAAATGGTGTATCTAGGTTTATTTATTTATGTTTGCTTCCCTCAGCTATCTGTGGAGGTGAGATACGTAAAAATGAAGGACAGATTCAGTCTCCTAATTACCCCGATGACTACAGACCGATGAAAGAATGTGTGTGGAAAATAACAGTGTCAGAAGGCTACTATGTAGGATTGACCTTTCAGGCCTTTGAGGTAAAGTCTTTCAGGCGACCTTCACGGAGTGTATGCTCCATAAATGGCAGTGGCATTTAAGGGGATCCTCATTAAATAAGCAAAGAACCAGAGAAGCAACTTCTTTAATCATGCCAAGAAGCAAAGAATTGCCTATAAAATGTAACATCAAGAGCAAAAGTGGTTTTTTTTTCTTTTTCTTTTTTTTCCTTTCCTCTGTGGCAGACATTTTCAAGAAGATTAAAGTGAGTTTACATTATCTGTGCTATTTGAATTAGAATGTTTGAAGTGCTGACAATAGCTTCTTTTGACAAATGCACAGGCTTGTTTCACAAGACTGCTTGAAGGGTCCATTAAATAATAGAAATTTTATTTATCTTCTAAACGAAGAGGTTAAAAGGTAGACCATCTTTTTTGGTGTTGTTGGGGGGAAGTTCACTTCTACCATTATACAGAACATTGTTTATATCAGAAATAGGGAGTTAAGTGTTCTCAGGAGCTCTCAACTTCATTAAAAATATTTATCAGGAAGGAAATCAGTGCCAACATTGAGTTATTAAAGGAGGGCAGCATAAACCAAAGGCCAGACAGAATTTTGGAGCAAAGTCTGGGTCCAAAATTGCCAAGCTGGCTTATCAGTCATTTTTGTGGGGTGGAGGGGAACTGAGTTAGAGATTGGAAGCCAAGGGATGAGGGAATTTGTCAGGAACTCCAGAATAGTACATTTAGATTGTAGAATCCATCGAGAAATTGAGAGCCCAAGTAAAGTGGGAAGGAACGATGCGGTCCAGGCAGGGGCTGGGCATGCAGATGCCATCACTGGAGATGATTTCTTCACTGATTAGAAGGCTGATTCGCTGTCCAAGCAATCAGAAGGCAGTAGAGCACCCCATCCACTTCTAGGGTGGACTTGCCACTGAGCAGAGTGACTTGGTGGTGTCTCTGTCCCCACAGCAGTAGCACCAGGGGGACCCAGGCATCACTTACGCAGAAGCCCAGAGAATCTGACACCTCTGCCTGCAAACTGTGTGATATATTTTTGGGTACTTGTGTCTACCCCTTGGCATGTTCCATTTAATTTTCAAGACATATTGACTGTTTTGCATTTTTGGAAACCTTGGTTTTACTTGATTCATATTTGATTTTTGGTATTTTAATGGATCAATATGATTGTGAACATTATTCAAACAGACCACTTTATTCTTAACAGTAAACACAAATTGAGTAGGATCCGTCTACTATTTAGACCAAAACAACTGTTTCATTGAAAAATTATCTCCCTAATGACCTTTTTACTTGGATGTTGTGATATTGCAAAAATCAAGTGATGAACTGTCTTTCAATATATAATTCAATGTTTTATGAACTTCTGTTACAGAAGTGATGTCAGACAATGCATTCACTCTGTGCATCTAAAAACTGAGATGCAGAAATTGCTGGCTCAGATGTTTTGTATTCCTTTTTGATGTATCAATATAGTAACAGTGATATTCTATAAAAATAGTGTAGTACAAAGAAGAAATAGGACAGGTTTACATCTCAGGCACTTAGAACCATGCCTGGCACAGAATAGTCATTTAATAAATACTTGTTGATTGAGTGAATAAATAAATTATTGCTAAGCTTTGGGACTGGGGAAAAATCATGTCATAGTTTGGCTCACAGTACATTTTATTTATTATCTTTAGTTACCTGTCCTTCATTTTGCTTTATTTCCTTATGGTTTTTCCTCCTTCATGTATGTACTGGACATATTTGAATGTCTAATAGGACTCTCATCTTTAAATGAATAAAATCAAACCTTTGATTGTCTTGTCTTACTACCCACTCTTCTTCAGTCTTCCCTATTTCAGTATTTACTATTTCAATATGGCACTATTTACTCAAGGAATATCCCTCCTTCCACTTTTTCTCTTAAATCCTGAGGTGAATCCATCAGCATATTCCATTTATTTTTATGGAAAAATATATCCCATAGCTGATCACTTCATACCTACTTTCTGGCCACCACTCAACTCCCGTTAACAACCCTCCTCTGGGAACTTGGTGAGAGCCTCACATCTCTTCTCTGACCCGACATGACCTGATCGCCACAAAACAACCAGAATGATACTTTTAAAGGTAAATTAGATTATAACTCTACTCTGCTTAAATTATTTCAGGGGTTTCCATCAAACCCAGATTCAATTGTCATGGGTCAGTGCTACCCACGATTTGGTCCAAATTTCCTGCTCCTTCTCCCTGTGCCAGCTCATCTGGTCTTCTTTCTCTTCCTCAAAAATGCTAAGTTACTCCCACATCACAGCATTTGCCATTGAGATTCCTCTGGATCTTTGCTTTGATTCCTCTCTTCATTGGGATCTCTGCTTAATCATCACCGCCTTAGAAAGTCCTTACCTGGAACTCTATAAAATATTTTCTTATCTACAGTTGTCTATAAACCATTATTCTGTTTTAGTTCATTGCACTTACATCTACTGGAATTTATGTTACGGGTCTCTTGGTTTACATGGTTGTCATCTGTCTATCGCACTAGATATGATCATCAGACAGCAGGGGTCTTACTTGTCTTGTTGATCACTGAATCTCCAGCACTACTAGAAGCATGATTAATGTTTGATAATGGGAGGAATGAATGGATGAGTAGATTATCCTTGAGAGTGTGAGCACCTGGTGATTGGTGGGTAGAAATTGATATATCCTTTCTTTATCAAAGTTTGTAAGTTTCCATACAAGGGACACAAGTGTGGATAAGTAAAAAAGGTTTACACTGTGGAGGATCTGATATGTGGAAATTCAAAAGTGACAAGGAATTTAGAGGTGTTCTAATTTGCCATCTAAATCTTCTAGATAAGCATACTGAACTTATGTCGGTAACCTCATCACACAAGTGAGCGGCACTAAACGAGCATTAAATCCCGGGTACAGTTAGTTGATCTTCATTACTTATAGATTCTGTATTTACAAATTATGCTACTCAGTAAAATTTGTTTGTAATCCCCAAATCAATATGCGCAGTTCTTTCTTGGACATGTACAGAGCAGAAAAAATATGTGAGTCATCTGACATGCACATCCCCAGCTGTGATGTGCTTTATGGAGAAAACATATGTGTTAGCTGAGCATCGTTCAGGCATGAGTTACAGTGTTTTTGGCTCTGAGTTTAGTGTTAATGAATAGATGATGTATGAGTATTTTTTAATTTGTTCTAGTGGTGACTAGATGGTTAGTTTCATTTCATCAGTTATCTGTTTATATCAATTTATTTTTGTTTGTACATTTTCCATTGATAACATATACATTTTATATTGAAAATGTGTAATTTTTAGAAAGTCCTCACCAATCTTCAGTGTTTTGTGGTTTTTGTCTGACAAGACACTTTTTATTCACTGGTAAGCCTTTGCTTTTTTTCAAAAATTGTTTCTATTTTTGCAACTTTGTAATTCTCTGTTATTCTCTTCCTTTTCAGATAAAAGTGCCTTTAGGATAAACTTGTCCATCATTCTGTTGAAATCTACTATAAAGAATTTACTAGCTATCCATTATTTATACCTTTCTGTGAATTTATATCATGACTTTACCTTTGCTAATGCTATTTTGATTTTAATGTAAGTCCGTAAAAAAAAATCTGAACAAGTGCCTTTGTTAATGAATTTCAGATGTCTTTGAGCAGGAAAGGACACTATTTAGGGTTACAGAAGCCTGATTCTTCAGTAATCATACCCTTTGGGAAGCTTTTCCTTTAGTAGCTCCTGGTACATTGCTTGAATGTAGATCATGTCTAAGTCATTTTGGGGAGCTTATCTTCTATTCAGCAGCAGTGTTATTTGTAAAGAAGCTTCTATACTGTTATTTTACTTGGGGATTATCAGTACACAGAAATACAGAAGAGAAAAAGTTTGGAAGTGTTTGTAGTAAAAACTTTCAAGAAATGTCAATAAAGCAGAAAAGAAGTGAAATAAACCTAGATACTACTTATGTTCACATCGAAATCCCCACATACATTAATTTAAGTGGGATTAAGTTTGAGTACTTTGTCAAGATTTCTACACACTCTGATTTGGTTATACTTCCCTTACGAAAACCATAGATGTTTAACAGTCTTACCCATCATTACTGTAAGCTGCAACATTCTAAACTATTTATAAAAGTTTTTATCTTGGTAGTTTGTGACTAAAGTAATTGTTTGACTAAAAGTAATCCTTTAATTCCTTTAAGTATTTTATATTAGTTTAAGTAGACTAGTCTCTGTGAATGAACTAAGAAGTCAAGACAAAGAGATCTTAATGAGTTGACATTTTTTGCTTGTCATGTAATATTTTGGGATGTTTGGCTAAGAATGCATACTGGTTAATGACTATAAAAGAGAATTAAGTGACTTCAGAATTATAGTTTAGGCTACCCTTCTACTCTGAAAGATTAGTACATGCTCATGTAAATATACCCAAGGTCACACAATTCTTAATTGATAGTACTGTGATTGAAACTAGTTCCATCGTCTGTGCACTCTTGCTCCCAGCACCTGGTAGCAAAGAGAGACACTGACATTCTTTCATAGCATTCAATTTTTAGGAAGACCTTCATAGCGGTCTTCATTTGTACAACTGTGTTGTTTAATCAACACAGGCCTGTATATAAGGAGCATGCCTGTTTAATTCATGACTCTACACACTGTCAAGTGTGTATTATCTGGCCATAGTAGGTTTTCAATAAATATTTATTAAATTTATGAGTAGTTAAAAATAATAGTGTCATGAAGGAAAAAACAAATGCAGTGGCCACATTTAAAAACCTGAGCCACATAAAAATAGACCTAGTCTAGATTTAAAATTTTGATTTTCCCAGGTTGAGAATATTATTTTATTCTTTTTTTTAGCTATAATTATCTATGATTCAATATTAATTAAAATTTGATAGTAATAATAGCATACTAAATATGATAGTAAGTTTTAAAATAATGACCTATTATTAAGCTTTTCTCTTTTTATTGAAAATTCTTTTTGTTGATAGCATTATATTTTAGACTTTACTGGATTTTCCCCTCATTGTTAAAATTAATTTATTTTTAGTGATAAATGCTAATTTCCATTGCTTTTATTAGTCATACTTTTCTTTAATATTTCCCCCAGAGCAAAAAATAATTACTTTAGCATTGTTCCATGTGTATATAATTTTACATGATGTTATCTATAAAAGTTTCATCATTCATGTAGTTGATTGCATTAATTATATTTTGAAACTATGTTCTATCAGTCATGGGAAAGAGTATTTTTTTATTATGGTAATATAGACATAACATGAGACCATCTTAACCGTTTTTTAAGTGTATAGCTCAGTATAAGTACATTCACATTGTTATGCAACCAATCTCCAGAACTGTTTATCATGCAAAACTGAAACTCTATACTCAGTAAACAATAATTCCCCTCTTCCCTACTCCAGCCCTTGGCAACCACCCCGTCTATGAATTTGTCTACTCTGGGTACTTCATATAAGCGGAATCATACAATATTTGCCTTTTTGTGACTGGCTTAAGTCACTTAGTATAATATCCTCAAGTTTCATTCATGTCGTAGCACCTGACAGGAGTTTCTTTTTAATGCTGAATAATATTCCATTGTATGTACAGACCACCTTTGTTTGTCCATTCATCCATTGATGGACATTTGGATTGATTCCACATTTTGGCTATTTCACTGAACAATGCTGCTATAAACATGGGTCTATAAATATCTCATTGAGACCCTGCTTTCATTTTTTTGGTCTATACCTAGACATGGGGTTGCTGAATCACATGGTAATTCTATTTTTAATGTTTCAGGGAGCATGGGAAAGCATTTATTGAAACTATTATCTAGAAATTTTGAAGTTTTCAGAGCTTTCTACAAATAACTAGGTACTGCAGTAGATGTTTTGCAATGTTACATTTATTTGGAAATTTGTTTATAAAATGGAGGCAAACAAAGTGTGTGAATGGGTCCTATGCCTAGGCATGGGCCCTTGCTCCAGGGCTGGCTTTCTTTCAATGTTTAGAGTTCACTTACATACACTGACTACAAAGCACTGCACCAGTTGGCAGTTTTAGAAAGAGAAGCTGGCTGCTTTAGGTTACCTTTAGTTGATTTTAAGTTCTTGCTAAACAGAAATCACTTGGCTTTTTCATGCTTCCTCTCTAATCTGGCAGTAAAGGCATGAGTCCCCACTTAGTAATGAAATGTAAGAATAATCCCTTCTGGCTAATCTTTGTACTTGTTCTTCCTTTTCTGTGTATTTGCATCTACTTCTAATATCACTTAAATGTCAGTTTTCTAAAAATGTTCAGAGCTATCGCTTTCACTGTAGTCTCCATGTACATGTTATCTGTTTACATTATGATAACCTTGCCACATTTGTGCATGGTTTATGCTCCAATTACCTTAAAGTCTGTAATAAATTAACATCATCATTATCAAAACAAATTTATTATATGTGTAATTGTGCATGACGTTACATTCAGGGCCCAGATCTATGAACTGTGTCCATGCTGTCACTCAAGAAGAAATGGAGTTTTCTTATTTGGTTTCCTTGTTTTTATAAATCATTGGTGTTCTTTTTCTCATGGAGCTTAAGGTTACTGGATAGCATCAATGGACTTGCCCACTTTTTAGCTTCAACCATATTTATTTCTATCTATTCTGTATATTAATTGTGAAGTAATTTATACAGCTAGAGAAAAAGTTACACAAATTACATGAATAAAATAACTCAAACTTTCATTTCTGCCCACGATCATTACTCCTATAGGGAGGTCGTTGAGACATAATTAACACCAATACTACAGATTCATTGTGCTGGCACTGCAGTTAGGATTAATGCAATTAAACTGGGAAAATAAATAAAAAGATCATTGAGGTCATTGATAAGCTATCTAGGATTGTTATGTGAATGGATAATGCATGTTTAAATATCATAAATTGTATATATGAGGCACATTTTATTTTCTAAGCAATTCACTAACTGTGCATTTACTCTGTAAGAATAGTGTATATATTTCTACTGTGTTTCTCCTAATACCATGTGCATAATATTTAATATGTAAGTAATATGTAACTCATACATAGGTACTGAATTAATCCCAAAGTTGATCATTGTTATGCATTTTACCCATGGAATAATCCTTTTGTGTCATATAAAATATTTAAACTGCAATTTTGACTAAGTAACCAGTGAATATACTGTAAATTAAAAATTAAAATGATCTATTTTATATCTCTTAAAAGGATAGAGTGAGTTTTATTTACAGGGAAATATCCATTTTTCTACTTCTTCTTAATCATCGATGAAATATAAAATTTTTGTTTTCTTTTCAATAGTCTGTTTTGTGTTCTCCCTTGTTAGTACTGTAATTTATAAAAGTGATTTAATCTCCTCAAAGTAGTAATTAAAAAGCCCTTTTCAACTAAACTTAATTTTCATTCTACCATGGCTTCGCATACGATGCACTACAATCTTATTTCTAATAATTGATTTTCTACAAGGAGCTTCTTTCTTCATCATGTCTCTTCTCTTCCTTTCCTCTTCTAAATCTTGCTTTCCTCCCTCATCCAATATGACTCATGAATCAAGAGCAGTTCATTCTGTGCTGCTCTAAGCAGGTGAGAGGATGGCTTGCTGAGACCTTCGGTTATTTTTCTCTACAGTTTTGTCACTGGTTCAGTGTTGCTTATTCTTTTATCAAGCCCTATATATCGAGAGTTATAGATATTATTTCATATTCTCTTTGAAGAACAGCCTTTGGCCATCTGGAAATGATCTCCTATATATAGAGACCTTTTATTTTATTTATTTATTTATTTATTTATTTATTTTGAGAACTTTGTTTTTAAAGGAGTATATTAAATAATAAGAGAAGGTGGCACATACCTTGTCATATTGGCCTTGTCATCCCTGGTGACTAAGTTACTAGTGCCACTGCTAGCCCTCCCTCACCATCTCTCTATTTATTAATAAATAGCTACCGTTTAAAAAATGTGCTTTAAAAATGAGATGGTCTTTGTATTAAATATTCTCCCTTCATTTCTGCAATTCTACACACAGAAAGAATACATTTTTAAGAAAAAGTCTGGATTTATGAATCAAACTCACTGAGCCTGGTGGAGCGATCTTCATGCCTCTCAACCTCCTTCTCTTCTTATTTTGTTTCACTTTATGTTTTTCCATAGTATTTATTAGTTTCTAATGTTTTATGATTAAATTACTTTTTCCTATTTTTTGTTCCTTTGCTCTCTACCCACCAGTAGCATCTAAACTTCAGGGAAGCAAGGCTCTGCTATAACATTTTGCTAAATGATGCATACCAGGCGGTGAGAAGACAGCCTGGCACAGGATAGGCACTGACTATTTGTTGAAGGAATGAATTAATCCTGATTGTGATTGGAAAAAAGAAAGCAGCAAATGTAGTTCTTAGTTTTGAATCTGTACTTCAAAATCTATTTTTTTCTGTTTGTCCTTATCCTACCTGCTGTGAAGACTATCACTGTTAATGTTTTGATAAATCAGGAAACAGATTCTTCAACCAATTATACCAGCAGTTTTGTGTGTTCTGTTGCAGTTCCATGGAATGAGCATTTCCCCTGACATTGGTTATGTAACAGAGTTCCATATATTATTGAAATGTATGTTGAGTAATAGATGACAAGATGTGATACTTTTCATGGTTTTTCTAGCTTCAAATGTCTAATAAGCAGTTGATTCTCTTAAGTCTTCAGGGCTAGTGCCTATTTTCTATTAAAAAAATCAAAAGCAAGAATTTTATTTAGAAACTATATCAAAAATTTTAAAGCCAGTTGCCTTTAGAAGTAGTTCAGGGTAAAAACAGGTCCATGGATTTGCAGTTCTCCATAAAGTTTCATTGGCCAATTGTCTGATCTAATATTTGCATTTAGTTGTTTAAGGAGAAAGATTGAGTTCTGCCAGCTAATATGGATTGATGAAAGTGTGTCAAGGTAAAAAGGTCATCTAAACAAGCCATGGTACCTTGATTCTCCAACAGAGTGTTCCTTCTGCATGCAGCTATGCTAACTGGGGGTAAGGAATTTCATAGACTAGGAAGTAATATGATCTCATACCATCATATTTTTCCTTCAAAAATATATTTATAACCTAAATCAGTGCAATATTCATCCATAGAATTTGAATTCAGCTTCTCTATGAATAAAATAATAGTTTACTGGATGATCTATGATCAATAATTTTATAATGATTTGCTGAGCAATTTTACATTGCTTATAAGCATAATATAGCTCAGACTTTTAATGATTATTTTAAATATGGATTTTTTTTTCAGTTTTATTTTCCAAAGAGTCACAACTTGATTCAGATACATGTAGTTGCACTGATCCATGGATTTATTCTCTCTCGCCCTATCTACCAGAATAACATGTCCTTTATTCATGGGCACTGTAGGTCTTATCATGCACACTTGCAAGAAATGCTCTCATTTAATAAGGAATTTGTTATATGACCATGTCAGTACTATGGCGCAGAGAATACATAATGACCTTTCTGTAGAAATTGTTTTATCTATGAATGAGATGTATGTTCACATATTTTTACTCCTTAAGATTGAAAGACATGACAACTGCGCCTATGACTACTTGGAAGTTCGAGATGGAGCCAATGAAAATAGCCCGTTGATTGGGCGTTTCTGCGGTTATGATAAACCTGAAGATATCAGGTCCACCTCCCATACCTTGTGGATGAAGTTTGTTTCTGATGGAACTGTGAACAAAGCAGGGTTTGCTGCCAATTTTTTTAAAGGTAATTCGAAATAGGAGCTTTTCTTTGTCAGGGATAAATGTGATAGTTAACTTTGCTTTAGTGGACAACTAGAGTGAAGTTTGATTGAAAGTTGAAGTAGGCACTGTTCCTAAGGGTATTTTTGGTGGGTTTTGATGGAAAAGGTTATTGGTAAAATACTGAAAATTTGAACTTTGTAGCACAGGGTAGGAACCCCATGAGGATATTATACCATTTTTTAAAATGAAATAGACAAAATAGCAAAATCCATAAAGGGAGAAAATAGTTACGATAATAGGCAACAAAGGATTCATAACCAGAAAAGGGTTTACTGATGTGTAGTTTATCAGTTTATTTCCAGCTAGCAGCATTTCCCAGCCACTCATTACAGAATGGCTCCTGCTACATTGGAAATGTTTTTTTTCTTTTTTTGACAAAGAGTTAATACCGATCTGATACCTAAAATGTATTTTTATCAAAGAGTTATTACTGATCAGCCTTAATTTTGAATAACCTAACTAAATTTTAGTTTGTTTTCATGTCCCATATTTGGTGTGTATTACTGAAGTAAAAAGAAAACTATTTTAGTGTAAGTAGTAATTTCAAATATGCATTTAGAAAATTCGTAGTACCCTATGTTATGTGTGTTAGTATAGAATAAAATTCTTTTATGGGAAGACAAAAAAAATTTCTCTATACTGATTTTTATAGGATAAGTGATGGAATCAGTTGTGTATGTCAAAATTTAGCATGATTAATATCTACCATTTTCATTATTTAAAGAACAGTATAATAGATTTTCTCTAAGAGTTAAGTATTCATCATATGAATTAAAAGTCAGAGAACCTTGGCACTTTTACTATACATAGTGAAAGTTTTTATGAAAATGAACATTTACATGCTTTAAATCTTCTCTATGTGTTGTATTTTATGGTATAAGAAACATGCTATCAAGATTTTCTCATGTGATGTTTATATATTTGGTAATCAAAAATGCTTAGTATTTTTTTGATGCATAATTTCCCAACTCACAATAGGTTATACCTAAAGATTGAGGTTATGGAGTACCTTGTCATATATGTTTCTATGTATTTTTCATATTTATAATTCATATATAATTTTCATGTTTTCATACAATTAAAATAGTATATACATTTACAAAAATGTGGAATTGTTGTATTTTCTGGGTTAACATGTTTATGTAAAAACACTGAATGCTTTAAATTTAAAGAGATCTAGTAAGTTTCTGGTTTTTTTCTCTTTAGTTTATATTCACCATAATCCATGTCTTTAAAAGCATTTTTCCAGGCCATCTAGCAAGCTGTACTATGAAATCAACAGGTGAAGCTGCTTTTTTATCAGGAGCTTTTTCTGTTTCATTCTGAAAAAACCTCTAGGTTTTATTAATTCTCTTTGACCTTAAATTCAGATAGAACCATACTGAGATAAGATGATCTTTGGTAGGTTTCCAGCACTTCTCTTGGTTGTTATACATTCTTAGGTTGCAGTGACATGAGTTCTTGTTTTTCATGTATTTAAGGGCTTGCAAATTATTCCTGTTCCTTTGTTGAAGCTATTAATTGTCTCAATTTCATTCAAAGCTATTAAGCTCATCATGGTTTGAAAAAATTTTACATCTCAGTATATAAAAACAAAATACTCGTGTCATTCTCTAACTCTCACCATCTTTATAGAGGAAGACGAGTGCGCCAAACCTGACCGTGGAGGATGCGAGCAGCGATGTCTGAACACGCTGGGCAGTTACCAGTGTGCGTGTGAGCCTGGCTATGAACTGGGACCTGACAAAAGGAGCTGTGAAGGTATGACTGGATTTTCCCTTGACGTTCCCTGCCCGAGTCCCTCTGCCCTATTCTTTTCCTTTATTATAGTCTCATTCTCATTCTTACCTTCCTCTCCTCTCTCCTCCCCTCCTCTCCCGTCCCCTCCCCTCCCCTGCTCTCCCCTCCCCTCTTCTCTATAGTAATTTCTTTCTTCACCTAGTAAGAATCAATTGATAGCCACAGTTAATGTGAAACTAAAACTGGGTTCTTGTTACAATATAAGTCATTTCCTTCTTTGGTTATCAACCAGGACAATTATTTATGTTATCTATCTACATATGTACCTATCATCCATCAATCTATCATAATCTATCTTATCTGTATGTTTTCTATTTTTATCTCTATCTGGACCTAGATTTTAATCTATCCATCCATTCATCTATCATTTATTTTAATCATTTTTTAACATAATTTATGCGTGTGTCTGCCTTTTTAAACTGCAGAGTCCTGAATCTGAATCATCTTTATATGTCTAGCATTTAGCACAGTCAGATATAAAGCAGGAATTAAATGCATTTTATTAATAAAAGACTCATAAACAAAGACATTTTGTCCCATTTTCAACATTTTCTGTGTAATTCTAAGATGAGACATCTTGTACAGTGGTTTAATTAAATAAATAATTAAATAATTAATTAATTTATTTATTTATTTATCTATTTTACCATATCCTATGGTCTCTTTCTTTAGAATTTAAAGCTTACTCTTTACCTGTGCTCCATCCTACTGGGTCGTCGGGAAAGTCATGACGTATTTTTCTATGTTTTTCAATGCAAAAATGAGTCATGACTTTTCCAACGACCCAATATTACAGGCCCCATACCTAAATTACAGACAAAACAGAAGGACTGATCTAACTTCCTCCATTCTACTCCTCATGTGTTCCCTCTAAAAATTTCTGCCAAAATCATTTTCGTAGATCTTGTAGCAACTTAACATTTATATTTATGTATTTATTTAGGTTACTTTTGGTGTTTCTCACAAAAATGTATGTTTCCTAGGCATGAGCACCTTGTTCTCTACTGTATCTATAATAGAGGTCATGATAAGTGGCAAAGGTGGAAGCATTATTTCTTAAATGAGTAAATGTCACATCCTAATTGACATATTTTTTAAAAAAAATCAGAGACTCCCTTTTTCTTCTTAAAAGTTTAAACTCTTTTATTTGGCAAAATTCTCCATCCTATCTATTAAACTACAGATCTGCTTCCTATACTGAATAAAATAGACACAATTATTAAAAAAATGCAGTATTTTGAAAGCAGAGGACATTGTAGATCAGACAATATAGAGTAACATGACTATTATTATTATTGTGTAGCTCCTAGAAATAAATAATATACTTCATAATAATTTACCAAAAAGTGATGAACATGAAAGTGCAGGTAGTTTTTTATATTTATAAATACACTTATAGTATATTTATAAATATGCTTACACACTCACACACACACACAGAGGCAATTAGAGAGCGACTTTAGGTAACTCTTGATTTCCCTATGAATTAATTATAAACTGTGTATGATATATATTCTTTTCACTTAGCTTGTTTTTGGATACCCTGATTTTGCTAAGCTCCCTATCAATAAGAGGTGACATAAACAGTACCTCTTTTAATCGTCACAGGATGTGGAGTACAGATTAGAGAACAGCTATGTATGATGTCAGAGGGGTAGTAGATTGGAGGAGGGTTGTTATCACTTTGTGAGGGGTGTAAATGTCTATTACACTGTTTTGTACATGTGAAACTAATAAAAAAAAATACACCAAAAAAACCCCAACCAAACAAAAAAACCAACAAAAAAAACAGTATCTATTTTAAATAGATCATCCAACAGGAAAAGAAAACCAGTTGTTAAATGGGAGATTTCGGAATAACAACTACGTTATTATAGTTTTATATCACTTTACTATAGTTCATCTTTCCTGCGAGCTGAAGCAACTCTACGAGTTACTTGCCTTGAGGGAAAAAAAGTGTTTAAAGAAATAAACAATTGATTTGGGTCTCACTGCATCAGAGTTTATTGTGCTTTACATGTACCTTTTCATTAGTTCTCACAATAACCATATCGTGTAGAAATTATTATGCCCATTTAAAAGATAAGAAAATCAACGCCCAATTTTCTTTATATTACTCACCTAACGTTAAAGTGATCTAAAACGTTGTGGTACAGCCATAATTTGCTTGACTCCAAAGCTACAAACTGACAGTTTATAAATGGGATTAGTTTGTTAAAATAGTCGCACTAAAAACTTAAGGAACCAGAGATTTCAGCTGTCTTGGTTTTGAAAAATCTGGAAGATGGTTGACATTTAATGTTGAGATATTTGGTTACAATGGGAAGGTGCTAAGAAGCGGATGACTTTGTTAAAGGAAAACCTTTTCCATTTCTTTCCTCCTAGCGGCTTGTGGAGGACTTCTTACCAAACTTAATGGCACCATCACCACCCCAGGCTGGCCCAAGGAGTACCCTCCTAATAAAAACTGTGTGTGGCAAGTGGTGGCACCAACCCAGTACAGAATTTCTATGAAGTTTGAGTTTTTTGAATTGGAGGGCAATGAAGTAAGTGAACAATAATTTTTTTTGTACCGTGTTTTGGGAATTCCTGAAGGGAAACTGGTAAACTAAAAATAGAAAAGGAAAGAAGGAAGGAAAGAGGGGAGGGAGAGAGGGGGAGAGAGCAGGGGAAGGGAGGGAGTGAGGGAGGGAGAGAGAGAGGAAGAAAGACTTGCAGTGATACAATAGTGTACACAAAGTCTTTCTTTGCTCTGCTGCTCATTTCTGCAGTTGCTTGTAATTCCTGTTGACATTGGATTATATTTTCAACTGTTTCTGGGAGACTGAAAATTACCCTGAGGAGATTTTACCTAGTGTATTAATATACAGCATTTTTTGATTTATTAAATAACTATGATGAAAATAAGGTCAGCTTCATGTCACATAGACTTTTCAAGAGAAAAATCTCTTGGTTGAGTCTTAACAAAAATATTCGTTTGGGAGAACCTGATATATTTTACTTATGGAAATAGGTATATTTTTATCATATAAGTAGTTTTTTATTTTTAACGTGCTTATGGTTCACAAATAAAGATTAATGCTTTAACTTCAGTAAACGGTGGATTTAGTTGATGCTATCTTTCTTTTACAAAAGCTTACTTTAGTACAGTTTTCGGTTACGTGACCACATTTAAACAAGTGAACTCATTTATTTGAAAGGTGCTTCTGTACATTTTTAAATCTCTTACTAATGGCTTTGAGGTAAAAAGAAGTTGCTGACTTTTGTGTTTCCTTAAAGGAAATTAAAGCCTGAAATGTGATGAACTTACATATTTCAGAGAAATGTAGAATTTTAGATAGAGCTTAATGGACATTTTGAGATCTTTATATCATGTGTAAGTTTTATGATAGGAAAGACTACACTTTATATTTCTAACATATTTTATCCACATGGAACATAGTTTTCATTTAATATAATTGGAAATTTGGGAAAGTTTGAAATGAAGAAAATAATTTTTATGGTATTTTAAAAAAAGCTTTCATAGGACACTTTTTGCAAATGGGAACCTCCTTACCTTCTGTGGCTTGATATGAACTCTGTGTCGAATGACTTCTACTCGCTCAGTTTTCCCTCAAGCTATTAGTTGTGGCAGCTATGACATTTCGATTCATTAATTGAGAGATGTTCCTAAGAAGGTTAGATGCTTATATTGAGGAGGAAGGAGAGTAGATGGTTTTAAATAAATGGAGCACTGTGTTCCCAAAGCAGCTTCTCATGGTAGTGATCTTTATTCATGGAAGGACCCTTTACAAACAAGTCTAATTGTATTTCTTAAACTTATAATGATGTTGCTGTGTGGAAGGCTGTTACAAAATCCTGTGTATATTCATAGGTTGATGTCTTAGCTATTTAAAATAAAGTCATGAACAAAAACTTGACTTATAGACTATTGAGTTAAGCTAACACTTCATTATTTTATTCATTATATTGATATACAAAAGAAAAGTCAATGTCAAACTAGTTTTGCCTTGGTAACATTCTTCTATTCTAGATCAGAGCCTCCGCTAAACAATTGCAGTAACAAGGTAGAAAGAGAACTTTTTTCATTTTTCCTAGCAATGTTTTGCTAATTTATCACCTAATTAATATCACAAGAACCAGTAATTTGAGTTGACATATTGAAGCACAGATCATGCCCCAGGGTTCAATCACATGCATTGTTAGACTTGCTAATTACACATTTAGGCAATAAGGGCGTTCATGCAGGTCGTGTTCAGAAGGTGCCCTGTCGGAACTTTACAATATGTTACGGAAACATCTCTTAGTAGCCACAGAAATGCTTAAGACTACCTGGCATTCACTTAGCTTCTTCCATTTTGGTGGTGTTGGTGCATTACATGTAAATCAGAATGGGTCTACTTCCTTTTAGCATAAACTCCTGCCTCCATTGCACTGTATAGAATTCCTATTTGCAATCCTGTGGCAATGCTACCCAGTAACTTCACAGTACCTAGCAACTCAAAAAAAAATTAAGAACTATCAGTTTGATAAATTTGAAAGGCAAAGGATTCTTTTTATTATACACCAAGTGTCTGCCTTGTTTTGAAAGTTCCTGATGGTGCTGTTCGGATTCGAATGAAGTGTTTCTGGGAGGCAGGTCTGGACCAAGCCAAACTCCACGCTGTTAATCACCATGTATTATCTGTATAATTTTGGACATGTAACATTTCTGAACCTCAGTTTTCTCATCTTTACAATAGAAAGGATCATTTCCATTGCTCATGGTTGCTTTAATTGTTGTCAGCATTAAATAAGAGTACAGGACAATTGCTTTCACAGTTCCTACTGAAAATTTAGACATTTAAATATTTTTTTAAAAGCAGCAACTGCTATTCTTCTTGTGACAATCAGTGCCATCCTGTTAACAGATAGTCATCTCGGTTCTCCTTAACTGTATTTTTTGGGGAAAAAAGAAAATGTATGCTGTAAACACAAAAGCAAGCAGACAATTGTATCTCTCTCTCGGAGATATTCAGAACAAAATTCTTCTCAAATCTGTCTTTCTTGACTTCTGCCTCATGGTTGGACCCTTTCCTTGATTTTTTTTCCTTTACCTGTTAATTCTGGTTTGACTACCCCAGAAGTAGAGAGGGAAATACATGATACACTTTTCAAAAATGAATGTCAATCATTTGGTACTTTCAAACCTGGTGACTATAATACCCATGTTTTTTCTAGGTTTGCAAATATGATTATGTGGAGATCTGGAGTGGTCTTTCCTCTGAGTCGAAATTGCATGGCAGATTTTGTGGTGCTGAAGTGCCTGAAGTGATCACATCCCAGTTCAACAATATGAGAATTGAATTCAAATCTGACAATACCGTATCCAAGAAGGGCTTCAAAGCACATTTCTTTTCAGGTATTAGTATTCACATGCTGCATGCATATCTATATTATGGATTTTTAAGATGTATTGTCATAAATCATATGTTATCCATTTTTCATAGTTTTCTGTCACTGAAACTTGGAGGTACGTCGAATGCATGAACATTTATCCTAGGTGAACAATTTTTTTCACTTAAATTTAGGATGCTAATAAAGGGGCCCTGTTGAAATGTAGCTGCTGAATACTTAGATCTGATAAAAAACTAATCAAATATTATAGAGGCAAGCACAAATAACATGAAACTATAATAATATTTTCATACAGTGACTTTACTCTTTACTAGTGGATTGAGATAATGATACCAAACTTTCAAAAACTGGCATACATTTTCAGAATAATTTATCATTGGTTTTGGAATATGTAGTCTCATTTTAGTAGTATATTTTTTACTCTTTCTATTTAGCTACATATTTCTTGTTTCTCTTATGTTTTCATTCTTGTTATTAGCTGATATTAAAATCATACTTTTCCTCACCACTATAGAAATGGTTGCAGAAAAAGACCTAGAGCTATGGAAATTATCATTTTATACTAAAAATAATATACTATCAGATATATTTAGCAGTTTACACTTACATATTTGGAATTTAATGTTTAGTTTAATGAACTCAGTAAAATTTTCCTCTCAAAGAGCTGAAATTTGATAAAAGGTTATGACATTTTAAGAAAATACATAAACATCAGTGACATTCCCTTCTTATCCCAATTTCGTACCTTATAAAAATATTGCGCAATTTTAAAAATAGATAAAATTGTAATAAACCTTAGTGTAGCAATCTATTCTGCCTTTCAGACTGGCAAGCAATTTAAAGCAACTGAATTCCAATTATGTTTTAATATTAGGTAATTTGGATTGAGTTAATTCAAAGTCCATTTATTCCAGTCCCCATGTGTTTAAAATTAATGAGATTTACAATGCCCAGGGTTTGTTTGGGGTTTCAGTGTAATTGAAGTTAATGGTTCACAAGCTCCACTGAGGGCCAAGTCATATATAAAAGTACGTTCAAAATACAATGGATCTGGGTTCGCTGGTTCTCATTCCCGTCCTTCTCCCAGATTTAATTGCCTTTTAAAAATGCTCAGGCATTCATTTAAGATTTATGTTATTCAAAGTAGAATTTTAATATACTATTTCACTGAAAGGAAGACTTCACTATTTTATAAATATCATGTATTTACAAATTTCAGGTTTCCAATGGTTAAAGATAGGGCTTCTTATCTTAGAGCCACCTAAATATTTATTTTAAAATTTAAATTATAAAGTAAATATACTTTATCATAATATTAATAATATGCAGGATCATTTTATCTTTAAATTAGTTATATATTTTATGTGATAATACTTTTTCCAAAGGAACATGCTACATATACTGGTGACAAAGTATGATTAAATGTAAAGTTACCCAGAATATTTAAAATTCACTCTCTGATATTTTTGGTCAGGGACGTGTTACCAAAACATATAGACAGGTTATTTGTTTGTGTCTTTAGGAGAATACTGTTGAAATATAAGGCATGCTACTTTAATTCTTATAGATATGGAAGCAGGTTCAGAAGATGCTGTTTAGAACAGCACCCGTGTTCTCCATGAGAATACAAAGTCTTTATTCCTATCTCTATGTAGTTGTATAATTGTAAAATTATCTGAGTACCTTGGTAGTGCTTAAGCTGATAATGGTTCATTTGCTGTAAATAGCATTTACTGATCAGATCATTTTAGGAAACCATCTCTGCTGTTAGTATTTATCAATGCTATATTAAACAATTATAAGTCAACTAGGTGACAATACTTCATTTTCATAGAGTCCAGCCTAAATTGTTTAATGGCATGTAGGTAGTTAAGTGCACTGAACAACAATGAAGTTCAAGGGGAAAGTAAACTTCAAATGGTCATATTACAGCTGCCATTTTGAGAGCTTAGTATGCAGGCACATACTCATATTACTGCTTTAATAATCACAATAAGGCTGTAACATTCTCATTGCTGTATTCATTTGGCAGCTGAAGCAGCTGAGGAGTTAAGTAAACCGCTCAGTGTCACCAAGCATTTAAATCCCCACTTGTCTTGGTTTGTCTTCACCATAAACTGATCATGTCCTTTGCAAACAGCATTGGTTATATGCTACCCTCAACATAGTTGTGACCTGAAAAACAGCAGGTACACTTTTCACTTATTATATTATTATTTGTAAAGTTTAAGGCAATTATCATTAAGTATAAACTTTCAGTGTTTTCTTTTTGATGCATTGAAAAGTCTTGGCAGTTGTTCAGATTCATGTTTAAAACACTGTGGTTCAAGATCAGTATTAGATCTAGTTCACACTTAATTTCCTGGGGGAGACATTTGCCCAGGGAGAGGGAAGATTAAAACATGATATTTGTCATAAAGAGCTGGTGTGGCACTATCGAGAAGGGGCAACACATAAGGACTTAGATTACTTAATGTCCTAGTTAGGATCACCTTACAAAATCATAATTTACAAAAGATTACCCATTTTCATAGATAGGTTCTATTCAAATTGAAAATATTTTAGAGTTCTAATAAAGCTTGAAGTGTACTAATATATAAGCATGTGTTAATTTAATGATAAAAGTAATTGAATGATTCCATGGTGTAAAAAGTTGCATAGATAAAATATTAATGGAAATCTAGATATAAATCTATCTATGCACTGTATAAGCTAAGCATGTAGGTGGTAGCAAACCTGAAAGCTGCTGTATAAAAATGCCAGGAATGTTTGTGTTAAGATGGAGAGTTGGTGTATTATAGTGTTTCTACAATTTCTCTGTTGTCATCTGATTTCAATACAAAAATAGCTTTAGGAGAAAAATACATATCATATTTCTACCTATCTGTTACCCCAAATATTATAGATTTGCAAACATTACCTAATACAATTTAATATTTGAGAGTAAAGAAAATTTTCAATTCATCTATTTATTAGTTAATAAATAGTAATTCAAGTTAATGATATTAATAGGATTTTGAGTTAAATTTTATAGTTTTAACTTTTGTAGGTAACTTATATCTTACCATAGACAATTGAATAATTATGTTACTCTATCATATCCTTTAATCAAGAGCTATTTTATAAAGACTTAGCCTTACATGGTTCTGTTTGTAACCAGTGTTGTTCTAAAAATTTTAGAATTGGTTATGAATTTACGAAAACATAGTGAGGAATACAACATGTTCAGCTAACTTTTCACATTATTTTTCTAAGAATAATTATCAAGGAATTCAGTAAAAAGATAAATACTATTTGATAATAGGTGATTCTATATTATTTGGAGAGGACAGCTATTTAGAAGTAAATTCTAGCTTTCTTGCTGCTAAGTGATGCACCAAGGGAAAAAAGACAAGGAAATATATTTAGATTTTTAATGTACAGTATACAGTGAAATAAACTATTTATAAATTATTTCATAAAGAATCATATAGAGATTTTAGTTATTTTTGCATAGTCTTTAATTGTAAGTAGGCACTTTATAGACCTAAAAAATGAAATTGTCAGTATGACTAAGAACTTAACAGAAAAATTAATATTGATTTCTGTCACTTCCATGTTTGCAAGAGTAAGAAATCATCACATATGAATTCTGATTTAATATCTTAAATTAGTCATGAAAAATGCTATAGCTTGAAAGTTTAGAAGTTATTATATTATACAGCAGAAAATCTATAAGCTCCTCTATGAAAATCAAAGTGTCATATACTATACTGATTTTAAGTTACATTTAAAAAGCAGTACAGGGACAGCCGAGTAGCACGTTTGTTAAGAGTTGGCTTGGGATGCCAGCTCTGAGCAGCAGGGCCCCAGTTCGGATCCCACATGAGGGCCAGTGATGCTGTATCCTCTACAGCTAAGATGGTGAACAACAGCTCGACCTGGAGCTGGGCTGCCGTGAGTTACCAGCGATGGTGTAGGTTGCAGTGGGGCTGGCTGGCAGCTGTTGTGAGCTGCTATGAGCCACCGTGAGCGGCCGTCCAATGGCCCGGTGAGCTACCAACATGAGCCAGTGAGGCGACATCCTCCACAACTAGACTGAAGAACAAAAAAGGACAGCAACTTGTGTGTTCCCCTTCCCTGATTTCCCAACACTGTTCCCCTCCTCCAATTCCCAAATAAAATCTTAAAAAAAAAAGCAGCAATATAATGAAGTAATATCAAAGCAAATAAGGATATTAGGACTATTAAAGTTATTTGGACACAATTTAGAATTATATGTCTATTCGATTTTGAGCTCATTCAGAATATGGTGGCATAAGAATTTTATACAAGATATCTGGTCCAACAACATATTACTGTCATTTTCTTGGACTGAATAAGGTTTGTTTTCAGATTAACAGTAACTACTTTATATGATAGTAAAACAAAACTTAATTTTATATGTTGTTGTATTTGAACCCAAGTATACAAATTTGCAAAGTTAACTGTATTCTACTCAGAACAAAGTTCTTTTTCTTTATATGGGTTAAAACTTAAAGGAAATATTTGTAAGACTTTACTTATGTAAAAACAGCCACCTTTGGGAAATTGACGCGATTTTAAAATTTTAATTGTAACATTCATTATTTAGGAATTATATAACAGTGACTTCAGACAACGAGAGTTGAGCATAGACATTCTACCTTCCTTAGGCAACCCTCTGTTAGCGCAGACTCAATTCTGACTTCTGCAATAGCGAGAACACAGAATTTGAAGAATAAACCTCAAAAGCAGTCTTCTTCATGGATAACTTTAATGGGAATGTGATCTATTACTGATGGACCTAGTGACTTTGCTTAGTGGTGGAAATGGAATGAAAACCAGGTTTCCTGATTCCCATTTTATTTTTGTCTATAATAAATATAGGAGTCAGATAAAATGATTTGTGTAATTTTTCTATTTCTAAATTTAAGTAATTTCAATTGATATGTTCCTTATCCACGTTCACCATACACAGATATTTCTTTACATTGTTTCTCTTGTACACAGTTTCACTCATGGAATGGCCGTAGATATTTTTAAAAGAAATACAACTTGATATTATTCTTAAAAACCTTTAAGTATTAGTGTGACTAATTTTCAAATAAGAACACAATTAAAACTCCCCTACGATTTTGAATCCTGTTCCAAGTTTTATTATTAGCAATACTTAAATATTTGCATATTTTTGCAAGAGTAAATTGTCTATCGTAGCTCTCAGTAGAGTTTCTTAGTTCTTTTTGAAGGTAATTATTTATTGGATAGTTTTGTGTTGAAACCTGTGTGTGCCATGTATGTGTGTACACATGAATGAAAGCGTATGTGTGCATGTGTCTACGCGTGAGCATGCATGGGTCTGTTTATTTTTATATTTGAGCATTTACTGGGTATTTATCTGCTCATATATGCTTCTGTTGTGGTGCATGGACCCTTCTTTTTCCTACAGACAGGGAAGCTTTCTGCAAAGAGAACATTTTTATTTTTAAATCTTGCAAGAACTCAATACAGGTTGCCACTTCAGTTCCGCCCAGTATGTATTATTCATAGACTGATGGCCTCTGATAGTCTCAGAGACACTGTGCGGCCTCTGATGGGAAAATGCCACCTCTTTTTGTCCCTAATAATGGACCTTTCTGTCATCTAACATGAAGGAATGGAAAGCAGATCTGTCCAATCCAATGAAGGAGGTTAATTTACAACTGCAGAAAATAAATGTTTTTATTTCTACCCAACAAAAAGTTTATTTCTCTCACTAATAAAAACTATTCAGAAATATTTGTTCCTATACTATGAAAATGCTAGAAAATTTCAAATGAATTATTGATAGAATTCTCAATGATTAAATTTGTTATGCAGACATTCTGAGGAATACTTAAAACTCAGCATCTTCCCCCCTTCTCTCCTTTGGGTTTTCATTGTTCAAAATATTTGTAGTTTATGTCCTGATAGAAGAAAGAGAAAGTAAAAAGATAATCATGTTTGCTAATAGCTTTTATCCCCTGGTTTGATGAGCTTTTCATACATAAGAAGTCTAGATTATATTTGTGGAATTTGCCTTTTATGATGCTATTTCTCATCAATATAGATAATCTGAAATTGCATTCACCGTAATTGGAATAGTTTATTTACTTCTATTTAATCACCTGTTGTTTAAAAAACCACCCTGCATTGACTACTCCTTAGACAACCGAAAGAATGAACTTAAATAGCTTTTTTTGTCTGCAAGATATAAACCATCTAGAAAATTTTAAGTATTCCAATGTTTACTGAAATTTTCTCTTTTCATATGACTATTTGACTCATGTAGGCTCAGTTTTATATGAGCTTTGCTAGGCATGATGACTTCCCTCTGCTGCTTTTAGTTACTATTTTGATTAGTCCAGTTTTGAATTTTAGCTACACTTTAGATTAACCTATACATATATTCTAGCAGTGTATTTGATAACTCTTAATTTTTATGTGACATTGATTATATTAGTCAGCATTAGATGTGGGATAAAGGTAGGAAACTCCAATCAACTGGGAAACTGAAAAATAATAGATCCTTAGACAATAATAAATACATCAAATCTTCATTTTCTTCTATTTCCTCCTTTTCCCTTTCCTCCTCCTTCTCCTCCCTCCTCTAAATATTGTATTATTTTAACATTATTTTTCCAGCACAGCAGAAATATGAATCATTGGCTACAAAAAAAAACTACTATTCAAATATTAGTTTCATTTTCAACTTTATATCTCTTTAGTTAACATCAAGACAGGTCAGATTATGATCTATCAAATACAAAGAAAATAATCCTCCTTAGAAATATAGTCACGAGATTTCCACTAAAATGAAACTTAAATGTTAGAAATTTTTTATGTATTGGAATTGTTTTCATTATGGAATGACTGGATTTAACAGCTCAGCAATAATAACGTGTTTATGTTTGTATTTCAAAATTTTTATATCTTTCATGTATGACAATACAAACAGGTCCAGGTAACAGGGTGATTCAGGGATTCCTGCTACCAGAGGGTGTAACACTTAGCGGTCAATCTGTTGACCAGTCAATAGCAAATATGAACAAAATTTTCTCTAAACTACTTTGCTTACAGTTGTTAAATTTTCAATCAACTCTCAAAAGTCTAGTTGACCTGTAGTACAACTAAAGTTCACTCTATCAGGTTTTTGGTATAGAAAACAATCATTATACAAACATTTTCATAGAAAAAATATGTGTCTATTTCAGAGTAAGTGATATAGGCATCAGAAAATTTTGAATTGGCTCTTTCCATTTATTCCATTTAACAAAGATGAAGTATATTTCTACATCCACTCATGTAGAAGTATTTTTTCTGAAGCATCTTAAGTAAAGAGCTTCTGGAAAGGTGCATTAAAATAATAAACTGAAATCATTTACTGCTTGTTTGAATTAGAAAATGTAGGCAGCTGCCACCATGGTGGTAGATAGTATGGTTTACCATCCATCCATTCTGCATAGGTCATTAATAACTCATAAACTATAATGTTCACTGTTGATACAAATAAGGAAACAGGGCTTCCAAATTATTATAAATTTATCTAAAATTACTTTTACAAGGCTAATATTGGCTTCTAATTTCTTATATTTTGGTGTTTGATGCCATAGAATTTTCTTTATTCTATATATTTTGTGCTTTTTTAAGTCTCCACAGTATTAAAAATGAAATGGAACAGTTATGGATAGGTAGGGAACACATAAATCACAGATATATTGATTCTGATATATTCTTTAGAACTTTGGGTTTGCCTGTATGTATCTGAAATATTCTGATGTTGCCAATGCATGAATATATCCCAGGAGCATGTGTGTACTATATCATGTAACCAATTTCCAAAAGGGGAAAAGTAGATGTATCCTTAAAAATTACTATCAGATTCTTTGATAAAAATCTCTTTCTTAAACCTATCTCCATAGAGTGACTACTGATTTGATAAAAAAGCAAAGATAGCATCTGCTATTTGTGTGCCTCCGTGAGCTCACAAGTTTCCAACGGAAAAATCAGTTGACAGTATAAATAATGAATTCAGCCTAACCTCTGATATGACTGTCTTGTGTTCTTTTGTTCTTTACACTGTGGGAGTGATGAAAGTCTAAGTGATACGTCATCGTATATGTGTGTCATGAGCAATCTCCCAGTTTTGACATTAATAGACAAGCCAGCCATGGAATGAGAGCTGAGTGACATTAATATGGTGGCTGATGCCTCTTTCGGGATTGATTGCCTGCTAATCTAGTTTAGGTCTTTTCCTGTAGTGAATTTGTTGGCTATTTCTTAAAGCTCATATTTCCTATTCTAACCTTTGCTCCTAGTGCAGTAAAAGCCCTTTTAGGGAATTACTTATTAATAAACTGGTTTGCTGAAGTAGATGTGTTTAGAATATATACAATTAACTTTCTTCTTTAGACTAATCTAATGATGCCTTTTTTCTGTCTTGAATATTATGAAATGTCCAGATTCATTAATGCTTAGCATAACTGCAACATTATGAAAAAAGTGAACTGTAGTAGTTATACTAACTGAATTTTGAAAAGTGATTACACACAAATCTTGGAACCCTGTATAGCCTCTGTCTAAATGCCATGGTTAATATATTGAAGTATCTCCCTCTACATTAATGTCATTTTTTTTGGCATTTATTCAAACTATTCACAATTTTAAATTTCTTTCTTTTTTTTAATTGGCAATGAATGTTTAAGATTAGTTGGAAAAAGATTTGTTCTTCTCTCCTACTCAAACCTTCTACTCCAGGAGTGAAAGAGGACACCAGTTCTCATCCTAGCACAAATGGTCTTGGAAACTCAATATTTGGCACAAGGCACCGAGCTAAATGAGGACTGGGTAGAATTAAGACACTATCAATGTTTTGTTTTTTGTTTTGCTTAATGTTGGGAACAAGGATGCTGTGAGGCACTTTACCCTTTACAAGTGTTACTCACAATTAAATGGCTCTCTTTTGATATTCTTTGTTTTTAAAGCTACTTACTAAACTATGGGATTGTCTCTCTGCTAGACAAGGACGAATGCTCTAAGGATAATGGCGGATGTCAACACGAATGTGTGAACACAATGGGAAGTTACATGTGTCAGTGCCGCAATGGATTTGTGCTGCATGAAAATAAACACGACTGTAAGGAAGGTATGAAAGGAGTGTTCTTTTATTGATACCATCTAGAATTTCATGCCATTTGGGTAAAACATTGCTTCCAGGTTGAGTTAATCATATCAATGAGAGATATCATGGTTGACTGTTCAAACGTCAAAGAAACAAACAATATGGGCAGTGTTCAAATATCCAAGGCATACTATTGGAAACTTCACGTTACACTTCACACATGGGTGGCATTAAGATAATTTTGTATAACAGACATAGATGCTGCTATGAAGCCATCTGGCAGCCAGAAAAGAACCACATTATTCCCAGGACTTTATAGAACAGACCTTATAACAGTCTTCATATTTAAGCTTAACTTCTGCAAAATGTTTTGCATGTGGTTTAATTTCCCTCCCCCAAAGTATTTCGTCTATGTGCTACATGAATGATGCCACTTTAAATACCAGGAGTGTCAAACTCAAATGCCTGCCAGAGGAAAGACATTTGGAAATGGTAGATAGATATTGTGCCATTTAAAGGTTTAAGTTTTGGTTTTTTGGGGAAAAAAAGAATCATACTAGTAGCACAACAGTAGCCCACCAGTGGTTGGCCCCCAGACCTTATAAATATTTCAAGATTTTATAAAAACAATGATCTTAATCTCCTTAGCCCATATGAGCTAGAAGGGAAAAAGAAATAGTAATTTGGTTCTTATTTTTTCCTTTGAGGGTCTGCTCCTGAATTTTCTACTTAACTTGGATTTATGCCTATTTTGAAAGAATTACTAAGGCAGATTTTATAACTTGAGTCATTAGCACATGTAGATTGGTAGGTAGCAGATTAGTACCACAGAAAGCAAACCCTTTGTATATTCAAATAGTACAGAGTATCCTGAATTGACCCTTTTTCTATTTAGTTCCAGTCAAATATGGTCATGGGTCAGGGTTTTTTTCTGTTTTCATTGAACTATGGACATTGCCCAGGATCATATGCAAGCAGATTGTCTCTTTTTAACTTTCATACATGAGCACAGACCCATGGGGATTCTGATACTTGTAACTTGGTATTCTATATAATCAACAGGCTGGGAAATAGGCTGAGTGATTGTACAGATATGGAAGATAATTCAGAGAAAAAAAGAGACAGCTTTTGCAGAGTATGTGTGTAGCCCATGGCTCCAGGTAGCAAATATATGTTATCCTAAGTCTCTGTTCATTACAGTAAGTATTTTCCAAAAAGGATTTTATAGGAAACTTCCTGTTCAACAGAACTATATCCAGGTACCCCAATCAAGTTCATTTTTATTGCTGGTAAAGGGGATGGATTTTCTCTTTACCTCTGCTGCTGTATGGGCGCCTTTCACGATTCAGCAGGGAGCCTCTTGGCTTTGTCTCCTAGTCTCTGCCAGATTCTGGATTCTCCACACTTCATATGGCAAAGCAAGGACAGGGATCATGGAATTTAGAAAACCCTTGTCAAGACAGGATCCAGACTGTAAGCTACATGTCTTGCTACATGATCCTATATTGTTGAAAAGGAGCTTTCTGTATTCCCCTGTTACAAATCCAAACCTCCCTATGGACACCTAGCAAGTTGAAGGTAAATTTCTAGTAGGAAGGAATGTGACAACAGCACATCAATGTTGGCGTCTTACCCTCATTGTGCAGCTCTGGAGGGTAACACGTGTTTTGTCCATTTAGTAAAGAATTTTCCCCAAAGAGGTTTCTTGGACAATTTCAGAGGATTTATTGTAGTTTAGAATGGGATACACAAAACAGTACAAATAATTCACAGTCTAAACTAGGATATGTAGGGTGTTGCTTCATAAATTATATAGAATGGACACAGTCTGAGGAGAGTCAGTATTTTTGAAGTTTGATCTTCACAATATGGAACAGTCCTCTTTAAGATGAAGTTATTTTAATTGTAAAAAATATCTAAAAGAAATTGCATGTCAATTGAATGAAATAGTCTTTGAAATTAGTTCAGAAGCTCTCTCCATTGCTAGCAGCTGTCCACTTATTTTTCCCCTTACTGCTTCACTTTACTTTGATGAAATTAGTGTTGATTTACTGTAGCAGCGAAAATTTTAGTTTAGGTATTCAAGTGTCTATTTTAACTAAGGAAGAGAGAATATGTAAATAAATAATTCATGTGGCTTCATACTGTTAATTAGCTGTAAATAATGTTTCTGTTAAGAAAAAAAGATGAATTGAAATGACATGGTCGATTGATTTTTGTGTGGCATTGAGCTAAATAGTTTGCACATACCAAGTGTTGATATCCTTGATTGTCAATGCATGTTGCTCTGTTAAAATCTGAGCTTAAAGATCCGGCAGTTTAAAATAGTTTATTTTCTTTTAGGCATTTGTCTAATTCATTGTAAACACTTCATTTCATGTGAGCAAGAAAACCACCATTGCCTGATTCTGCTCAGCAACATGTGGGCCAAAGCAGATGGATATGATAACAGAGATTAGAGGGATGATTTGTTAGTATTCAGGAAAATCTTTCAGCAAGATAGTGGGTCAGTAGGCTGCCTTCTTGCCCAATTCTGGGCTAGATTTCCACACTGATTGATATTATCATTATTAATACAGCTGAGTGTGAACAGAAGATCCACAGTCCAAGTGGCTTCATCACCAGTCCCAACTGGCCCGACAAGTACCCAAGCAGGAAAGAATGCACATGGGAGATCAGTGCCACTCCTGGCCATCGAGTCAAATTAGTAAGTGAGCACTTCGTTCTTTTATTAAGCTGACTGCCCATGTCTTCCATGGCTAGCACACGGAAGTGAAATGAATGCTTATTTAATTTAATTGAATTGAATTAGTAGTCAGATGGAAAAGATTTTCTATCGTATGTTTTCCCACGAACACTGAACAAATCCCTGATTTCCTCGATCAAGGTATAGTAATGGTAGCCATGTAGTTCTCATCTAGTGTTCTTATCCTGGATCCTTTAAAAGCCATTAGCAAGGTTACTGCAAAGCAGTAGGCTCTACTTCCTAATGTGCTATTGGAAATGATATCTCCAAATGGAGAAAATAAATGAGTGAAAAAATCAGAAATTCAGTAAGACGGCAATAAAATATTCATTTAAACACAGCACAGTCAATTCTACTGTGTCATTCTATATGCCTCATATACAGAGCATATGTATTTTTTATAATAAAACTACAGTAAAATGTTGGTTTGCGAGTGTTCCCACAAGATGAGCAAACATTTCTAATACCTTTTAACGTGGTAAACGAGCGATGTCTTGCAATACGAGTAGTTTGTTTCTGGAATGAAGTATGCTTGCAAACCAAGGTATGTATTACTGTGGTTTTGTTTTGTGGTTTGTGGAATATTATTTCTGCATAATATATTTGCTCTCTTTTGATGGATACTGATCTCCTTAGACTTCTTCCAAATTCAAGTCTGAATGTAATGTTTGTCCTCCCTCCTGTATTCTTTGAGTCTTGCATCTGGTCATTTGAGAGTATTTATTAAATTTTAATTTAGGCTACAAAATACATGAGAAGTATAATTTTAAAAATATAAATTCATAGTAATACAGATATTTTTAAAATTTACTGCAATATGCTGTTTGTTGTTAAGGCAGGAGGGAATACCAGCTAGCAAGGTTCAGAATAGCCAAGCGGGTACCATAATGGACAAGAGATTGCCTTGACAAAGATACCACCAGTCCATGGTAGTTTACTGGACCAGTCCAGCCATAAAGTTAATTTTACCCTTTCTTGTAATTTTTTTTTTGTACAATAAAGAGACTTTATTTCTATGCAGCATTATAATACATTTAGGAGGCAGTACCGAGACGTTCATATTCTATTATGGAGTTCCTTTCAGTCATCATATTTGTAAAATAGTAGTAAATGACTTTCCAAATAGAGATATCAATTCACTTCAGCCACTCTTTGGAAAGATACTAGATGGTAAGATTACAGCACTATAGGAACTTGGTTGTTTTCCAGTCCTGTCCACGGTCCTGATTGAGAGGATCACTCTCTGAAGCTGATGAGCTGAGATATAGGGGGCTGCATTCTTTTTAGCAGGGCGGCTAGCTAAGGGAGTTGGGAAAATGGGTTTTCCTGGAGATGTGTGTGTGTGTGTGTATATGTAGATCCAAATTTTGTCTGGTACCAAAGTCCTTCTCTCTGAAGGATTTCCTTTTATATTTTGTGTACAGCATGTCTGCATAGTGTCACTATTTAAAGATATTTGCATTGGGTATAGAATTCTAGGATGACAGTTTTATTTTCCTATCTGCACTTTAAATGCTTGATTCTGTGTGGTTTTCATGGTTCCTAATAAGTCTGTTGTAAATCTTAATTTTGTTCCTGTGAAGTAATGATTTTTTTTCTTATGCTGCCTTCAAAATTTTCTTTTTATAAGCAGCTTGAATATACTATATGTAGGGGTGTGTGTTAGTAAATTATCTTTCTCAGAATTCTCTGACTTTCTTGCATCTGTATTGTGTCTGTCATGAATTTTTGAAAATTCTTGACCATTATTTCTTCACAAAATTCTCCTGCACTTCTGTTTCTCTTTTCCTTCTGGGATTTCTTTGGCTGTCTTGAATCTACTAATGAGCTGGTCAGAGGCATTCTTTACATCTCATAAATGTTGTCTATTCCTAGCATTTCCATTTGACTCACTAGTATAGTTTGCTTATGTATTAGTCTGCTCAGGTTGACATGACAAAATGGCATACACTGAGTGGCTAAAAGAACAAAAATTTATTTCCTCACAGTTCTGGAGGCTAGAAGTCCAAGATCAAGATGCTGGCAGGGTTAGAGTCTGGTGAGGCGTCTTCTCCAGGCTTGTAGATGGCACTTCATTGCTCTGTCTTCACATGGCCTGTGTATGGAGAGAGAGCTCTTGTGTCTCTTTATCTTCTTATAAGGACACTAGGACTATGGGATTAGGGCCTCACCCTTATGACCTGATATAACCTTAATTACTTCCCTAAAGGATCTATTTCTAAATGCAGCCACATTGGGGATTTGGGCTTCAATGTATGAATTTGAGGGAGCAAAATTCAGTCCATAATACTATCTCTCTGCTGAAATTTCCCTTCTGTTCTTGCATGTTGTCTGAATTTTCACTACATTATTCAGCATATTGATCAGTTACTTTAAAACATTACCAAAAAAAAAGAAAGAAAGAAAAAAAAAAAACATTACCCCTACGTTTTAACTATCAAATGAAATTTAGTCTATACTGTTGATTTTCTCTCTTAACACTGTGTTTTTTTTTCTTTTCTGTGTGTCTCATCATTTTTTTTAATTAAACACCTGATATTATATGAATAATAGAGACTTTACACAGGAAGTGGACACATCTCTTCTGCTAGGCTACTGGTGTATGTGTGTGTTGTTGAGTAAATCTAGTTAGTAATTAAGCTGAGTTTGGGGTTTCTTGTTCCTATGATGATATTCATCGCATCATTGGCTTCAAATTCCTTTGTCTTAAATATTGGGTTGTCGGAAAAGTCATGATGCATTTTTGCAATGAAAAACATAGGAAAAATACATCATGACTTTTCCAACAACCCAAAAAGCAGGTTGAGATTTCAGAGGCATGTTCTCAACGTTTGTCCTTCATCTTTAGCTTCTCTGTTCACCTTTACCATGAATTGTGTTCCTCTGCACACTTTTTCCTCCTCCCTCAGTGGTAGGCTGCAGTTGCTTGTTACTTGGTGCTAGCTAGTCTGGTGGTGAGGGCGAAGGGTTCTCTATTGGCTTAGGATAGCCTCCACTTTAGACAGGCTCTGTGTTTTTAGGTCTTAGAGATGGCCTTTCTTGGTGGTCCTGTCTCTGCTCTCCATGAAAGCCAATCTCCATCTTATGTCTCTCGTCTGGGACAAGCAGAGCAGCTACACATGACCATTCTAGCATGGTGGTCTCAGAGGAAGCATACACTTGACATGGCAGGTCTGTGTTCCCAAAGGGAGTGTTTCAAGAGGCCCCGGGGAACACCTCTGTGACCCCTGAACATTACCTCTGCACATTCCATTGCTAAAGCAAATCACGAAAGCTGGCCAGGCTTGGGAAGAGAATTGTATGTCACCTCTCAGTGAGAGGAGGAGCAAAGAATAGGCAGCCATCTTTAATCACACACATACATTGAAGTATATGAAACTGCACATATTCAGGAAAGTAAAGGTAACATAAATGAGTTACTGCTTATAGTCTCCTGACAAGTTTGCTCTGGGTTAAATCCGGAATGTGTGGCCAAAATACTATTAGGTTGTAGTATAGCACCTGATATACAAACAGGAAATAAAGGTTATTTTTAAAATGCCACAGTAAATACTATCCAATCATATTAAGCAGAAATTTGAATACAATAACTTACTTATGTCTCTACTAAATAAACATACTCATTAAATCATGAATTTCCTATTATAAAGCTAAATTAAGCAGAGGTGAATTTATCAGTTTTTGAGGGTTTTTTTTTTGTATTCTTGCATATACTTGATATGTGCTCTGATCTTTATAAAACTATGGAATACTGTCTTCCTATAAGTGCAATAAACTAGGAAGCTGGGATCCAGAAAGCTTGGGACCGTACTTAAAAAAATTCTAAAGTAGGCAAACTCTCATATGTGATTCTAAAATTAAAAAAAAAAAAAAGAATGTTCTGAAGTTTCCTATGTCTTAAAAGTGTTCTCCAAAAAGTAAAACGTAGCTTGACTGGGCACATCTTGTACCCCGTAAAACTGTATTTGGGCTAAACATCACTAAGAACGGATGTGTATATCATGCCTAATGGGTTTAAAGCGGTGTCCTGTATATTATCTCAGGTTGGTGTCATAAATGACACTTACAAATAAGGAAGCAGTCCCAGCCAGTTTAGGTGACTTGGCACGTTGATAAAGCTAATAGGAGTCTAAATACCTTCAAGGGAGGCATTCTGTCTCTACATTTAATCTTATTTTTCATTAGAGCATACCGTCTCAGAGAGGAAAGAGATCCGTAATTGCTGGCTATGTGCACATACCTAATAATTTAAATGGAAAACAATCATATTAGTAAGACAAACTTACAATGCTTAACTAAAACAAATACACAACAGAGAATTATGGCGGGATTAGGCACATGTATTTTTCAAAAGGAGACTTGGTCCACAGCACTTCTACTTACCAGCCATGCTATTTTGGGAACATACTTATCCTTTTAAAGCCTTGATTTCTTCATCTGGAAATTGGAGCTAATACTTACCCAATAATTTTGTGTGTATTAAATGAACTTGTATATAAAATGTTTGGCACAGTGCTTTATTAAATATCAATGATGGTACAATATCCAAATAGTAACCATAATTATGATAATGGTTAATGATAAAAATTATATACCATTTTATTAAATAATACAGCCTGGCTCAAGTTTTTACAAAACCTTATGAATTTGAAATTTAATCCTAACAATTAAAAACGATTGCTTGTGATTGCTAATGGCTGCTTGTCAGAAAACTTTTTTTTTTTAAGGGCCAGATACTACATATGATAAACTTTGTGGACTATGCTGTGTGTCACAACAGTCACTAAATATTGGGCACTTCTTTTCATTATTTTGAATTACTCTTCATTAAAAAGAAGACAAAAACAAACAAACAGAAACCAATGTCCAGGCCAAGGAGCACAAGCAATAAGCTTGTGATTATGTGGTTTTTACTGATATATCCTGTAAGTTTGTTAAGTTATATAGTTGCAATTTACAGCTTCACATATGGGATATTTAGAAAACAAAAACACCCACAAGTGTTACAGAATTCTCTGCCATAAATTCATAAAAAGTGTATTTGATCGCAGTTATAGAGGACTCATGGAAATGAGTCCTTTCGGATTAGAAGGCTGGGGTTTGTATTCCACTGTGCCATTTTTTCCAGTGGCCTCTAATTCTTCCAATATCTTGTGGGAAAGCAATTGACAGTTCTTACTGAAGATAGAAAAATGAGAAATCGTGGTTGGAGTAGGGAGCTCTGAATCTTGCTTCACAGCTGCTCAAATTGCAGCAGTCTCTTTGTTGAAATGCTCATCCTGGCTGCATTTATTTTCCGCATTAAACACTATCGTTTTACTATCTTGTCCTTTGTGAATATCTGTAGTGATTCTGAGTGGTCTTATCCTTCAGCCAGTGCCTGTCTTTTCAATAATAGCACCTCCACAGATGTTCATATGAGGGGGCTGCATATGCAAGCCTAGCTGGGGGCCAGCCACGTAGATTAGGCTTGTTGGGTGTTCCAGAAACACGCAGTTATTCTTTCCACAGCCTAAAATAAGAGCTTAATTTTATATCTTTTGAATGGGACTCCTTAATCTTTAAGTTTGTCTTGTGGGAAATGCGTTAGGATTTCTGACTAGAGCTCACTGCTATTCACTCTCTTGGTATTTCTAAAACCTAGATGGGTGAACTTCAAATCATAGAAATATAATCATGGAATGAGTAAGGTAGAAGGGTTTGAGTGCCAAAATGTCTGTAAAGTCTTAGTGTCTGTGCTTGATAGAAATATTTGAAAGTCCTCAACAAGACGGTTTTGCTAGCTGTCCTGTCCTCATCGTGAGGTTGAAGGAATTTGGGGGTACCTATATAAGTGTCTGCTGCAGGGCATTTCTGTAGGATCAGTCCCTGGGAGCTGGAAATGTTCACAGTCTGCATTACTTAGTTATAGCAATTCATGGCTCAGCGTGTGTCACAGAATAAAGTAATACATAATTGTATATCTCACTTTTTCTTTGGGAACGCTAAGATATATTTTAAAAGATTTTCCAATTTCCCGTGGGCTCCTATAATACCTTTCTATGGTCTATAAATATTTTGTACTGAGGCAAAGTCATTATATAATGGAGGTCTCTCTGTGTGGATGTCTCTATGATATTAAGGGCCGGATTTATGAGATCTCAGCATGTGAGTTAGTCACGCTCTTGCTTGTGGGTGGTGCAGCATTTGGGTTAGGCTGAGTGCTAAAAAAGGACCACCCAATCTTTGCAGTTGACCTAACAAGCTGCTACCAATTCCAAGAGGAAAATTCATTAATTCCTTAATGAAGGAGGGTTGTTTGCATCGCTTGGGAGCACGTCAGCTACAAAACCTCTGCCTAAATTACTCTTACAGACTCAGTCTGATTCCATTAGTAATCTGATAAACAGCTGAAGCCAGTTGGCTGCAGACCAGGTGTCAGGATGCCCCCTAGCCCACCAGCTCAATGCCACTTTGTGTAATGTTGGTCTGTTCTGTAAAACAGATGTTATGATTTACTCCAGATATCCTGCATCTCATTAGGGAGTGAAGTTCTCACTTGGTTATCTCCTTCACTTAGTTTTCAGTGGGCCAATCAATGGACTGAACATGTGTGGTCCCATGTTAAACTTTTACTTGAAGGATATGCCTTAGAATGTCATTACCCTCATCGTTCCTACAATTTTCTCTTCTACAATGTAGGCTTCTCTGCTCTTTATATTTTTTAGCTGAATGACCTTAAATCACATTCAAAAGAGATAATGTCATGACAGACTTGTGGTGGTTTCCAGATATTATTTTCCTCTTGAGATAATATTGATCTTATAATTCAGAAACTTAATTTCATAGTTAATAAAGTACTCTTGGTGCAGTGAAGCTAGTTTTCTCTTATTGGGTTTTTTGTTTGTTTGTTTTTTTACCGGTTATGGGCTGATATTAAGGCTGTAGAGAGGTGCTGACTGAGTACCACCTCATGAGAGGCAGAAACCAGCAGATTGGATCTGCCACTTCTATAGTGTTCCCACCTATGGGTTTGGCCACAAACCTGGGATAGGACAGACTTATCTAGACATTTGGCCAACCATCCATTCAGGGGCATCTATGTCCCATGCACTATGTCTACTCCACTTTGTGTCACTAAATTACATAGATTAATCATTAGTGATCACCTACTTTGAATGTTGTATTTCAGGATAAACTCTGTCAAATTCTCCTTGTTTACTATATTTTCCTGAACTATTTTTTGTTTCCAGTGCAATTCTTTGTGCTATAATCTTTTTTGCACTATCCAGTGTCTCTGGTCAAATGAAGTGAATATTCCTTTTTACCTGTAATGATTATAACAAATAATGATTCTTTAATATTTATTGGTTATAACATTTTAATGTATTTTTTTATAAATTATGGTGCAGCAGAATGAGAAATGAGAGATCAACCCTCTTTCTTTTCTCTTCTTTCTTCTTTAAGTACATTTCCTTTCCCCTACTTTCTAGTTAATATAAATTGCTTCTTTCATTTCTTCCCTTATTCCTCCAAAGTAAGAAGGTATAGTAAACTATGGTATGGTATAGGGTAGATAACAGTGGCCAGCACTGAGGGAGAACTGTATTTAGTCATATTTTTTTCAAAATTATAAATGTATGTCTTAATTAAACTGAGAATTATGATCACTCGCAAAATTGCATTAAAGAAAATATCTATGTAAAAAGTTTATGTGCAGATGTTTTATGCTGCAGGGATTGTAGCAAAATTAATGAATTTTCAAGTATATTTCCTGATGTTTATTTCTTTATATATTTTTTTAGCTTTGCTATGTAGACTTAATAGACAATTTTCAATAGTTTATGATCATCAAAACCCTAAGGAATCAATTTTTATATAATTGTTTAAAATTTTCTGATGCATTTAGAAGTTAAATTCAGAATAAAATGTCATTTATCTGTCTAAATTCTGGAGATTTAATTGCAATAGTCAAATAGTAGTGAATGTATGATGGTTTTTCTGGTGAAGGAAAAAGCCTAATTGTGAATGGCAAATAATCTAGAATTCCTGGAATCGTTAATAGTTTGGAAAATGTAATTTTCAGTCCATCTCAATGAAACTTTTCTTTGTGATATTTAATGTGTTATACATTTATTGAATGTTTATTTTAAGGATTTTCTAAGACCTACACATAAAAATACTACACTGGTAAATTAGAATGATTTTTAAGTGGCAAAGCATACTATGCGTAAACTTTGCAAGACTCCAAATACTAAAATAAGTGTAATCTAGCCTAAAGTCATATTACTGTTCTCTAATAATATGGGTTGTAAAATCTAAGTAAAGAAATATATACTGGGTTGTTGGAAAAGTCATGATGTATTCTTTCTATGTTTTTCATTGCAAAAATGCGTCATGACTTTTCTGACAACCCAATAGTGAAAACTCCCTTTGTTCTAGTTATTCTATCAAGATTTACTGTATTTAATTTTTGTCAAAATATAGTAATTACTTCATGAGGTTTTCTTCTTAGTTTAAGAACCCAAAGGTAGGATGATGTTCAATAGTCAATGATCATCAGAACCAGAAGGAATTGATTTTTGATAGAATTGTTTAAAATTTTCTGATGCATTTAGAAGTTAAATTCAGAATAAAATATCATTTTGTTATTAAAATCTGTCTAAATTCTGGAGTAGATTTAATTGCAATAGAATTAGTTGTAATAGTTGTATAGCAGACTTTCAAATGAAGCTATTGCATTTTTTCCTCATTATGTTTTCCTAGAGCTTTTACATTCTATTGCTTTTACAGCTCTTTCAATAATGCATTATATAGATTAAATCATTTGTATTTAATTTTGAATGATATGTGATTATTTTTGTCCCTCCCTCTCTTTCTTCCTCTCTCCCTTCTCTCTCTCTCACAGGCCTTTAGTGAGTTTGAGATTGAGCAGCATCAAGAATGTGCTTATGATCACTTGGAAGTATTTGATGGAGAAACGGAAAAATCACCAATTCTTGGGCGACTATGTGGCAACAAGATCCCAGAGCCCCTAGTGGCTACTGGAAATAGAATGTTCATTCGGTTTGTTTCTGATGCATCTGTTCAAAGAAAAGGCTTTCAAGCTACACATTCTACAGGTCAGCAAATTAGGGCCATGTTTTTCTTTTCTGACTAAGATCCAGGGTTTGCTTCCTGTGAATGCAATGGATCCCATAACAGGATCATACAGGAAGCGCCAGGCACAGCAGAAGAAATCGCACTGAAGCACTGTGTGAAATAGCTGAAAACCACATAGCATCCTATCATAATATCTTTGTAGTTGATGAATATTTAACAAGAAACCTGATAGTTTGGTGTGGTTCATATCCGATGAAGTATGATCAAATAGAACTATTTCTAAATATTTCTATAATGTATTTCATATTAATTATAGTTTGATTTGTATGTCACATTTAACAGCTAGGAATCTACAAGCTTGATATTCAAAAATTGTGTTATTCAACACCCTACTTGGTTAGCTAGCTTTTGCATTAATATATTTTTGTAAAAGAAATTTGGGATTTCTCTCTCTGTTTTACAGGGCTTCATTTTTTTTCACCCTTTTATTTGGCATGCAATACAATTTTCCCTAAACTTAATCCCTAATATGACTATTGCAGATTATAGCTGTTCTGGAAGTCTTTAAGAAATAAAAAATAATTTAGGAAAAAAATATGGAAAAATTTAAGCAAGAATGTAGAATAACATTTTTTGTCATAATTTGGAACCAATGTAATAGAATACATTCCATAAATGTCTAGGAGATGTCCTTTTTTTTTTCATTTTAAAATAATCAGTTAATTGTAATGTAGATGTTTACTAGTCATTTAGCTTATAGCGACATCTAGTGGCATTCACTATGCATAAACCGTTGAGACACTGGTACAAATCTATCTTGATATAAAACACAGTATAAAAAGTCTACATATTCATCCTTGAAACAATTTTAGGGCAGTAATTTTTGTAATGGTTTCATGCTGATTGCTTTTTTCTTTTTGTTTCATTTTGTTTTAGAAATCAGAATATTATTTCATTATACAGTATTATTTTTCACTTTAGTATATTTTATGAGATTTATATTGAAGTCTGTGAGAATGAAGATATTGTCAGGTATTTATATGATTTATACTAATAATTATTGGACTTATCAATAATACAAATGAATTCTTTCTCATGATAATATAAATATTTTGGTTTGAGAAAAATCTTTCATGCAGCATACATTTCATACTAATGAAGGACTTACCATACCTATCTTCTCTTTAAATATTTTCCTGATAACCTGTCATATGTTGAAGGGGTGGAAAAATTGGAATCCCATTACTCCATCAATATTTTTCTGACAGTACAGAGTCCATGGCATGTCTGTCTGTCTATCGATCTGCCTACTTATCTATCAATAAATAAAATACCCCTGGCTATCACAGGTTCCAAGAATGCAGTAGGAAGCTATGTTGTCAAAACTTTTCAAATAGCTGATGATATATCACTTTAAAATTATCTATGTGTAAACTCCTTTTTAGTTTAATGAAAATTATCTTTTATAGGAAAGAGACTTCTCTTCTTACCCTTTGTGACCGGAAGATGAAGATTATATAATGCTCCACTGTGTGGGTGTGTCTGGGGCTGTGGTCCTTCTGTGCCATTACCTTAGTTGGGAAAGATCATTTCCTTGAGTCTCAGTTTCTTAATCTCAAGATTTCTTCCAGCTGCAAAGCTCGATGACGCCTTCCTTTGCCTGGCCTCTGCTCACAAACCCTGTTTGCAGTGCTTATCTTCCCATTAAGAATCCATTGGTAGGACCTAATTATAACAGAGACCGTGTATTGAGATCCAGTGGTATATATAGCATGCACTTGACATTTTAGGCACATACATACACTTTACAAACACTGAATGCTCCAACGAGCTATATGATGCAGCTGTTATCTTCATTTTTCAGATAGAGAAAATGAAAACCTGGAAGATTAATTTGCAAAGGTTTCTAAAATTATGTCAAAAGCCAGGATTTTATCCTAATTTTGACTGTCTCCAAAGCTCATATACTTTCCACTATAGTATATATTCTCTTAACATACAAGTTCTGGATTAGCAAGAAAACCGATACAAAACTGGACTACTCTTATTTGACGCAATAGGTAGAGACTGAATGCTTCCTTATTTACATTTTAAACAGCACTCTGTTCAAACTAACTGATTAGGCTCACTGTGTTCTCCTACTCAGTTCACATTCATTCAAATACTCACGTAACCACCTCAATCCCATCTTGTTAGGCAGCACGTGCCTTCGATGCTGTTTAATCACGATCTGCCATCTCAGAAATGAGGCATCGGAGACTAACAGGACAACCACATATTACAAAAAAAAAAAAATAGCTGTTGGAATTAAGAGTTTTGGCTTCCAAACTTCTGTTAATTTGTTCTTGTCAGAATTTTCTGTTTGCTGTGTTTCTTCTATTTTTTCATTTATAAAGTTTTGCCCTCCTTTTAACCATCTATCTTGGAATTTTCTGCATAAATTTATGTTATACTGTTATTTTCTAGTAGCCATACATTGTATTATAAAATATTTTAATGTACTATTATTTCTCCTCAAAACTTTCTCTAACAAGTTTACGTGTATTATTCCATAGTCTTTCATCAAATATTTATTTAACACATGCTTTGGGTAGGCACTGGAAGGTATTAGTCATTTATGGCGGAAAATTAGGAATTGAGGGGAATAAGAATAATAATAGAAAGACTTCTTGCCTGTAGAGAGCTTACTGTCTGATAAATTACACTGATTTTCAAAAGTTTCCAAATTTCTGATCTTCATTTAGTTTCTACTGACAAGACAGCTAACTAGTGCCACATCTGTCCACTTTTGCTACATTTATAAAGCGCTTATGCATTGTTTACTTCCTTCTAGAATACATGTGGTTATTATCGATGGACCCTGAAGTATACATTTTAATTTGCTTCAGTAAACTTCTGTATACAATTTTTAAGTTTATCCACAACAACAGCTTCTTAAACTATAAATTTTAAAACCAGGTGATTAGAAATATTGCTTTAGTATAGCTTTATTGCTACTTACTCGCAAGTAACTGTCCAAATCCATGGGGAAATAGACTTTATTAGAGAGTCTTCTTTTTCTCTGACAGTAGATCTGAGTTGTTGTAGATCCAAATTTATTTTAATTGGCTATTGAATAGTAACACTACCGCTGTAAATAAACTAATTGAAGGAAACAAATTTTTCCGTTAAAAAAAACATATCCGGTGTGTTTGCTCAGAGATATGGCTGTAATACAGAAAAAGAGAGGAAATGTGGAGAGAAAATAGGATTTTAAAACACAGCATTGTCTGGTAGGACTTCTTTTCTGTAGCATAAAGCATCACACTATTTGTCAATGCCATTTAAAAATCAAATAATAACATTATTAAGCTCCTTAGAAAGGAAATTTTGCTCTAACTCAAACTTGAATGCCCACTAAAAGCATTTATAGGTCGAATTACAGGACCTCTCCGGGAATTTAATACTTCACCAGGAAATACATAAACATGTCTTTCCAAATTAAAATGAAGGCCACCCCCGGGCTTCTCTTCCCTTATTTACCTTCCTTATTTAGCTTTATTTTCTGTTTCCCAGAATTCTAGAGAAGAGGCTCTGCAGCGTAGCAAGTATTTTCAAACAGTTGATTTAAAATGGTATTGCTGACATGCTAAACTAGGGTGTTTATATTTTCTTCTTGGTAAATGAATAAGGACATTAGCAGAAACTGTGTTTATTTGAAAATCTTCTTTTAAAGGGACCACATTAAATGATATATTGACCATACTTCAAAAACACTCATAAGCAATTTCCCTCATGCTGCCTATTTTCTGCTCATGCAGTTTCTCTCAGGGGATATAAAAATCACACCTCTTGTATACAATATTCAAATGTTTGTCCTTAAAAAAAAATTATCCTGCAGACTAAATTCTCTTTTTTTTGTGCGGTTGGAAAATTAATTGCAGATTTATTATGTTGAGCGACCCATAGGACCACAGGACTCATAGAATCCAGATAATCATTGATCCATAGGAATGCAGGTGTGCACTGAAACACAGAAACAAAAACGCAAACTTTTGGAAATATTTTCAGTCATTTTCAAATGTTTAAGTAATTTGTTTTTGAAAGTATGCCATTTTCTAGAAGTTTTCAATAAAATTGAATGATGATGCCTTAACTGTCATTTTTCAGGTTTACAAAGGCTTTGTGAAATCTCGTTGCCCATTTTGTTCAACTCCTTTATTTTTTCCCTGAGTTTTGTTCCAGGCTGGGCCTGGTGTAAAATTGTCTCTTCTGGATCTTGGTCTTTCTTTGGCTACTCTGTTTCTGCGAAGCAGGCACACGGAAGCCAGTCCCCCCTCCATATCTTACAGTCAACCCCTTCAGCTTTCCTGGGCTGTGTGAAAAAAACATATTGCTAGCACCGTCAGTTTTTCAAAAGTTGAAAACATAGCAAATTAGTCCATTATATCAAACTTTGAGACTAGGTAGAACTTTAAAACAACCTGGAAATAAGATGACACTGCTTTTTATATATTTACACATATATATTGAACTCAGAGATATTTTTCACAAAATGTTTTCCTGGCCTTCAAAAATATAAATTTTCCTTTATGGTAGCAGATTAATAGTGTTTTAAATTATTTTTCAAATTTTCTGGCTCTTATCTCATACTTGAGTGGGTATCCAGAAGTATGAATGACAGCCTTTAGATGTTCTCGCTGGAAGATAATACTGATGTTCCTTACTTATATGGCTTTTTCTGTGTGTCAGGTTCATTCAAGCATTTTACATATTTAACCCACTTAATCCATTCTCTCTTCACCTAGACCCTATGATATGAATACAATGTGTGATCCCCATTTTAGATATGAAGTGTAGGACAGAGTTCCACAGCTGACGAAGAACAGAACTTGACTTTGGACCCACACAATTTGACTGGGGAGTTTTGTCCCAGGCAGAGGACAATAATTCTTGGAGTAACTGAGATAAAAGCAGCATACCTTGGAGTGAAGGGAAGATGCTAGGCTTCCTGTCTGTGGGACTCAAGAGATGATACCCCAAGACTAATTATTATTCCATCCTTCGTGAATGGTTCTAAGCACATGCGCTTCCTTACATGTTCACATTTGTAACAGTGGCACCTCTATCCACAAAGGTGCAACATGCCCCACCTACCGTCTAAAAGACAGAGGGTCCTGTAGAGTCATCATGTAACACAGCCCTATATGGAGACACCATTCTCATGATTGAAACCCTAGTTGGAAATTCTTTCATAAGTCTCTCACACAAACGTCTTTGAAGGTGCAGTGTCTGAAAATCCAAGCGAGAATTTAGCTGCTTAGTCCATCCTCACAGGGTTCTGCCAATGACTGTCTGGTCACAGATGACCATGAAAGTGTTACAACGGTTTGCTCTATGGTGCCTTAGCTTGTGCAGATCCTTCCATATTGGATTTTTTGTCCCCTTCCCTACTCATTCCAGTTTTCCTGGGACTTTCCTTATTATAGCACTGAAATTATTACTTCCCAGGAACCTCTCAGTCCTTGGCAAACAAAGATAGAAAGCAACTCTACTTTCTCCTAATATTTTTCATATCCTGTTTATCTCCACCCACGGCCAAGTCATATGTTTGCATATGTATTGGCTGGAGGGCATTGCAGACATCCTCTGCCTTTATATTAATCTCTCGTTAGTGTAGTTTTAGGGTTCTGATAATGAAGAGTTCCTGAGAAAAATTTTTGAAAACTTTTATCATCTAAATTGTACTAACGATAAATTTTTTGCACTCATTTACTTCTAGTAACAAAGGTAACAACTGGTAGAGCATATGTTTATGAACATCTCTTTGAAAAAGCTGTGAAAAGAACATATGGGAATTTTTATTTATTACAAACAACCCATAACTGACCAGGTTCTGGAACTAAAAGATAACTATAATTATATAAGGCAGGCAGTTTTAAGTGATTTTCATCTATCAAGTAAATCCTGAAAACCCACTAAGATTTGTACTCTTATTATCATCTGCATTTTACCCTTAAGAAAACTATGGATCACAGGTACTTACCCGAAGTCACTGAGCTATTAGGCATTAGAGCTGTGATTCCAACCCAGCAGTCTGTGTCCAGGATCGGTGTCAGTACCTAGTACACCACCTGACTCGCCAATTACAGGAAACATATCTGATGATAGAAATGAATACAGAAGTTAGAGAATGGTTACATGACATTGAAATTGAACTTGGATCTGTTAAACCTCATTGAGCTTGTTTCATTTTTTTCCCCCCTTGGCAGAGTGTGGTGGCCGACTGAAAGCAGAATCAAAACCCAGAGACTTGTACTCGCATGCTCAGTTTGGTGATAACAACTACCCAGGACAGATTGATTGTGAATGGCTGTTAGTGTCAGAACGAGGCTCTCGACTCGAGTTAGCCTTCCCGATTTTTGAAGTGGAAGAAGAAGCTGACTGTGGCTATGACTATGTTGAGCTCTTTGGCGGTCTTGATTCCACAGCAGTGGGGCTTGGTCGATTCTGTGGATCAGGGGTAAGTAGAGTAGCAACAGAATATCATAGACATGATAAAAAAAATGGCCGATTGATGCATGATTGACATGTGTCACATATACAAAACAGCAGTGTTTTTACAGAAAACATTATATTGTATTATTAAAAGCTTGACAAATTATAACATGCTTCACCACTTCTAACCACTTTCCATCTCTAGTGAATTTGCTGATAATATGAAAGGAGACAGGTGAATTCAGTATATAGTTGCTTGTTACTTCTACATTCTAAATTTTATATTCGTGTTTTTATTGTGCAGTAAGTATTTAAGTGTTTAATAATATAAGTGCAATATGCTTAAAGATATGCACTTGACAATGCTATCACCTTCCTAAATTAAAACGTAAATGAAAAAAGAAGATGCACACCATTCAGATTGACATTCTCTTCTCAACAAGGTGGAAATGGCAGTGTCCACCACTGGTATGCCGGTGTTGTTTAACTGCACTGTGTCACTTGTGCATGGGACAGGGTGCCAGACAGAGGTCACAGCATGTCACCATGAGATATAAGAGAAAGAAAAGCTTAAGATTTTCTTAATACATTCCTTACCCTCCCCGCCCCAAGGACTCACTGCAGTAATATAAAATGGTTTCCTGAATACATATTTTGTTGTGAAGACATTAGGCCCAATTTTTTGAATGTCTGTCAGTATCTATTGCTTAGCTAATACTATTGACTCTTGTCCAAATAGCAACTGAAATGAAAACAAAGCAAAATTCTTGGTACTTAGATTATTAAAACAAGGAGGAATGGGCAATTTGGATTCTGGAGGTGGCTCTGCCTCAGTGCAGCTTCTGAAACAAATTTAATGTCCCTTCGTCCTCTCAGAATCTCACTTCGTCCTCTCAGAATCTCACTTTATTTGTAAATCAAAAGAACTTGGATTAAAAATTTGGTAAGAAACACCAAGTTCGAGAATTTGGAAATGGACCTAATTCTGTGCATAGCCAAGCTCCATCACTGTCTACCCAGCTGATCTGGAGCGCGTCATTTGCTTCTCTGAAACTCAAGTTTTCTCATCTGTACAATGAAGGAGTCACCCATATCTACTTTTCAAAGGGTTGTTAGGAAGATGAAATTATACACACAAAAAATTCCCAAACGTGAATTTGCACTGAAGAAAAAGTGACTCATTGCATTGTTTATTTGCTTGTTTGTTTGTTTCAGCCACCAGAAGAGATCTATTCAATTGGGGATACAGTTTTAATTCACTTCCACACTGATGACACAATCAACAAGAAAGGATTTCATATAAGATACAAAAGTATTAGATATCAAGATACCACACATACCAAATAATAACACCATAACCTCCTTCAGAACCTAAAGGAATGTGTGTGATGGAGAGAAGACATATTTTTTTTAATGAAGATATTAGCACAAAGGTTTTATAAAATGAGTTTGAGCAGAAGAAAACTGTAAGACCTGAATTATGTCTGGACTAAAAGAGAAGTTTCCAGCTAACCCTGATCAGCATTATAAAGATATGTGAACTTCAAGCTTGACAGGATAAAAAAAAGCTGGTGAAAAGGCATCACTTGCTTCAAGGAAGGCTCCACAAACTTTTGTTCACAGCTTGACACAGATGACTCAATTCAGACAGCTCAGTTCAGGGTCTGTGACCCTGCAGAGTGTTTTTTGACAATTTTGCAAGATTTGGGAGAAATTAGAACATGATCTTGCAGGTCATAAACTGGAAAACCCTCTCTTTGTATCTTAGGATGATTGCTTTGGCTTTTTATCTTGGACACAGTGTAAACCAGATCCATATAAGATGTTGTCAAACAGGAGTCTTTTAAGGGTGATTTGTACTTTAAATGTGGGTGTGTCCAATGCTTGGAAACTGGAATATTTCAGCTTCATTATTTTCCCTTGCAGGCCAGATTAACCTCTTTGAAACCCAAATCATCTTGAGACCACTTTATTTTACTGATATTTTGACAAGTTTGAAATGTCAATAATTTCTATTATTGCAGTTCAGCTCTAGACAACATTTATTGAAGTGCTGGAAAATGCCCAGTCGATTGGTAAACTCAGTTCTTTCGGTGAAAGTGCTGCCTTTTCACACCAAATCCAAGAAGTCTTATGATGTCTTATGAACTTTATGAGAAAGCTCCCAACAGGTGTGAACAGGATTCTTCTAAGGAACTGCCTGGATGGTTCATACTCAAGTTACCACTGCTGCTAATGTCTTTCTTTTGTTGTTGATCTATTGTAGTAGTTATTATTGTCGACGTTGACATGGTTAATGTTGTATTTAAAAAAAAATGAAATGGAGCGGAAGTAGGTCTTGTAAGAATGGAAAGATGTTTTTTTTCTCTCCTCCTGGGATTCACTTAAAAAAAATGCAATGTTGGAAAAAGGATTTGTTTCTGAAAGACTTTATATGGTGCTATTCCATAAACACTTTTTTTTTAAACACAGTTTTTGACCTTTGAGCCAACCACCCGTAGACTACGAATGTTTCCCTCTGTCTGGCTGGTGGCATTTGAAGACTAAAGACTTGTTAAATGTATCAAGAGTCTATCATTGCGAGGGCAGCATTTGTCCTGTGGAACACTACTTATAATGCCTTAGAATTCTTGCACATGATCAAACAGATCCTCCTAGGAACACATCTTTTGAAATATTAAATATAATAGTGGATGTTAAGTAGCAACTCTATGAGGAAAATCTATTTCCGTGACACAACATCATTGGGTATAAATATGCTGAACTGCTTTTGTTGTAGAAAATGAATTTTCTGCTTTACAGCCATGTGTGTTTTTAATATTAATATATGTATATGTGAGATTGTCTGAGTGAGTGAAGCTATAAAAAGATGAAAAGTAGTGGGTGGTTGAAAAGTTAAAATGTATGTGCCAAGTTCTACTAGAATCCTGTTTGACGTAGCACCGTGCTTACGAGGTTTCATGGACAAATAATGGGAACTTTTAATTATTATTGACCCACCCATTAATAAAAGGCTCTTTCTTTTAGAGAAACTCTATTTTGATATTTTTTGATGTTGTAGATTGCTATGCAGTAGCTTTGTTTCTGTTACCTGTCCATGAACAATTAACATTTAATAAAATTGAGTATTTTTCTTCATTTTCACAAAAGAAATATACACACAGATGTAGCTTGTTTTTTGTCATTGTTGCCCTGAAGAATCTTTTCTTGCATATGAATTATGTAAATACATTTTTAAAACCAATCTTTTGATTTTATTGAATGTTACTTTGGAAATGTATAACTATTGCCTGCAATATAATGAGCTTTGTGGTGGAGCTGATTTATTCCAGTAACTTCTTCTGTATTTTGTTCACTAACCTCCAATTAGCCAGAATTTATTAGGAATAGGAGAGAGAAGAAGAAAAAACCATTGACACCTAGTGTATTAGCCTGTCACTATGCTACCCCTAGAAAACTGGTGATGCTCTCATTGTGTAGTTAAGGAATTAAAGCTCAGAGAAGGTTGTGACATTCCCAGGATCTCAGTGTAAACTTAGATGTTGAAACTCAGCTTGTCTGAGGATATAAAAATCTGTGCTTGGTCTACAAAATGTTGTAGAATCAACCTTGACATATATAAATAGATTTTTTTTATGATGAAACTTTTCCACATAAAGTCAGTTTTAGGGGTGAATTACAGTAAAACTTTCAGGACAAATATATTGTTCGTTTCAGAAACAGCATGACAATTCGAGTATCCACTGTAGATAGCTTTAAAGACCACAGATAGTACTAGAAATTAAGAAAACCCCAAAAAACTATAGTCTGGAGTTAGTAACCATGGACCTTTTGTTTAAATAAATACATTAAATTATTTTATCTGCTGTGGTAGGGGATATATAGTGTTCTACTTTAAGGAGTATTCTGGATATTTCATTTGACATGAGGAGGCCACAATGAGCTGCTTCGACACAACCAAGACTTTAACGTAAAAAGGTATTAATATTTAGAAAGCATATAGAGATGTTGTCATAACTTTAGGTCTTCAGTGTGAACGTGAATTTTATTGTATCTTATGTCAGATATCAGTTCACTGCATATTATTTTTATATTAATTCAACTTTGGCATAAATGTGTTGTTAAATGCGAATATAGACAGCTTCATTGTTTTGTTAATAATTGTTAGTTACTGTTCTAAACATTTTATTAAATTAATTTTGTAAATTATTTTCAACCCCTACATCAGTATATTGGTCGTTCTCTCTATCTGACGCAGTTCTAACTCTATACAATTCTATACACAGAAAAAGAAAAAAAAAAGAAAACCTACTCCTACTTCATATAATTTTATTATTTTCAAAAGTCATTAATCTAGTTTATTACCATGACTTAATATCCCTGCACAAAACAACATTTTCAAAGAAATGTATCAGAAACAGCAATTATGCTTTCAATGTTCCCTGACTATTTTGGCTGGATTTTTGCTATTTAAGACTAATTTTAATATATCACAGTATAAGATTCAAATTCTGTCCAATTTTGTTTTTAAATATCTTCATCTCTTTTATTTGGTTTCTATTACTATTGTATTTTTTTATGGTAAGCCTCAAATAGGAAGTTTTTTCTCCCATATAAAAAATTTCTAAAAGTATCTAATGATTATTCTTCACAAGAATTAAATTACATACATGCTTAGATTTAGTTAAGCTATAGCAATTGTGTCATTAAAAAATTACTTTTACTTGAAGTAATTATCAAAATGCTTGGAAATTTTAGTTACTGCTAATAGAAATAAGACTTACTTTTTGGAAAACTTTTTATGCCACTTGTTAAATCTGGCATAGTAGGTGAAAAAAGGAAAAATATATACCTCCTAAAGTTTTATAACTTGACTTTCTATAATGCCTTCTATTTTATAAGGAAAAAAATGTGTAATATGAATTTATCAAAAAGAAAAAAAGATGGTCTGTGAATGAATTGAAACATCTTATGCTTCAATGCATAGTAAATGGCTGCCGATGAATACTTAACTTTTAGTCTTTTAGTGTTATTGTTATAAAACTGAGAGATTTTGTCATTATCTTAGGAAACAATTGAAAAGGCTGGCTCTGATATATTACTATTAGTCTTCAAACTTTCTTTTGACATCCACACTTCTTATTGTCCAGCCTTCAACCCACCCACCTTTCATTCCCCACCAACATATTCAATCTGAACCCAGGCTCACTGTGAAATTCTAGCCTTCACTGTGACACCTACTTTGTGCTGAGACCAACGCGGGATGATTCCAAAGAGATTATAGTCCCTGAGCCCTATATTTATAATCTCTCTCTCATACAGCATTTTCAATAAAAATGAATACAATAAATATCAACTTCTAGAGCTGTAGGTGGAAATATATTTGGGTTAAAGCATACGAAAAGAGAAGCTCTAAGAAATCAATATGCAGCTTAAGACGTGTAGATAAAAGGTCATGGCAGCTGGGCCTTGTCTTGTCTTTGCTACCAGGGTGAAGGCATTGAGTAAATAATAAAATTACTTGGGTTGTTATGTGTTATTTCCATATGCATACAAACTCACCAATTCCTCTGCCCTTACTCTGCTCTGTCTCCCTATATTTTTTTGTCTAGCTGGAAAATTAGTTATACAGCATTGAATTTTTGCCCAAGTATCAAATTTGTAGAGCACACTTGAATCTTAAAAATAGCAACTAAAATTATTCAAACTGATAAATAGCTGAAGAATGTGGTCTATGCTTCAGTATATTTTGCAAATTACATTAAAAAACAGATCCGATGGTGCTTCTTCTATTAAACAATATTATAGGATGATTATATTAGTCATAATATTTAACTTGACAACATATTTAAGGACTGACAAGCTTCATATTCATCAAAAGCTCTATTAGGACTTTTTAAAAGACTAACTAGAAATTAGGCTAAAAACAACTTTGAATCATGATTCCTTTATAATATTTTTAAGAGAGTGCATCAGAATCAGTGACCCACACCCACATATTTAAAATTTAAAACATCTGACAGGCATTTTTTAAAATGTCTGACATATTAACTTATTTAATCATCACAACTGTGAGTTATATTTTACTGTCTCTATTTTATGAATGAGGAAATAAATATACTGGTAATCACAATAAATGTTAATCAATAAATCACTAAAATGTCCAATTTAATGAAAGATATTCAGATTGGATTAAAAATTTACTTGTAAGCTTTTAGAAAGGATGCTTGTAAAACACAATATCAGAAAAGTTGAAAGTGAAAAAGTCACATCAGGTATAATACTACTAAGCTAAAAATAGGTAGTGTTTCTATAGTTATGTTAAAATAAATCTTAAGGCATAAAACATCATTTGGGATAAAATGAGTGAGTCCATAATGATAAAAAGAAATAATACATTAATAAATTTAAAACTTAAAGTTTAAAAACTTAAATTTGGATGAAGGTAAGAACACTCAAAATATGTAAAATTGTCAAAATCATTTTTAAAAATGTAAGCCATGATGATAAGAGAATACTAAGGTCTCAGTAAAAGATATTAAGACATAAGTTATTTGCAATCTATATATTTGATGAAAAATTAGAACCCAGATTATATAAAGGAATCATAAAATCCAATAAGATATAAAACACCCAACAGCTGGCAAACTACATGCTGTGAACCAAATCCCGCTCGCTGCCTGGGTGTGTACAACCCATGAAGCTAAGAATGATATGTAAAAAAGACTGCTAGCCTTTTGGTAAGAACAGTTAAAAGGTTGAAGACATTGCTGTTGGCCTACAAGACCTTTACAGAAAAAAAAATAGCTGACCCATACAACAGATAAATGTTCAAAGGTTCATAGGTAATTCACAAAAGAGGAAATCAGATGGTCAATAAATAGATGAAAGCTTGTTTGACATCGCCATTATTTGAAAACTTCAAATTTAAAAAGTGCAGTACTATTTTATATCCATTGCATTTGTAAAATAAAGTCTCAAACATTATCAAGAGTTTGCAAGGATGGATATAGCACAGGAACTCTTACACACTGCTGGAAGGAATATAACAGTGCAAACGCTTTGGATAGTTACTTGACTAGTATCTAACACTTGGAAGGTGTCTTAGCCATCGAACAGAAATTCCATTCCATGATATAAAAAAAAACTTGTGTATGCTTGCCTGCTTTTAGAGAAGTCACCTAAACTGCCAGAGCTGGGTACCTGAGAAGCTAGGCCAAGACTCTCGTTTGAAGAATTTTGACTAATGATTCAGTCTCTTTACTAGTAATCAGTCTGTTCAGCTTTTCTATTTCTTCATGATTGTCAGTTGCATGTGAATAGGAATTTATTCATTTCTCCTAGATTGTCCAGTTTGTTGGTATATATCTGTTTTAGAAGCCTCTTATTTGTATGTGTGTGGTATCAGCTGTAATGTCTCCTCTTTCACTTAGAATTTTGAGTATTTGAATCCTCTTTTTTCCTGGTAAGTCTAACTAAAGGTTTGTCAATTTTATTTCTCTTTTCAAAGAACCATCTCTTAGTTTCATTGATCTTTTTTTTATATAGTCAATGTTCAACTTTTCCCAATTATCCCTATTAAGATAGTTGGCTATTCCTAGGGAAATACCTATATCTACCTACCTATCTATCTATCATCTATCTATCTATCTATTTATCTATCATCTCTATGTATACATATATATTAGATATAAGTTACATCTTTTATGACAGTTGGTCTAATATATCTAGTGTTTTTCCCAAATTACTTATTGCATTAATAATCACTCATTCCATTTAGTTGTCCAACAAATTTCAAATTTTGTGTAAATTCCTCATGAAAATTTTCACTTAATATTTTATTTTTAGAAAATTTCAGTGCTATCTGCAACTACTGATGTATTAGAACCAATTTCTCTTGATTATTTCTCTTTCTAAAATTAATTTCTAGTTGAGTAAGAATTTTAAATAAATTATTTCCTTAAAAGTATGCATTCGTTTACTAAACAGTATGCCAGAACACTCCATCATATAATTTTTATACTAACATTTATTAAGCTCTTCCCACATGCCAGGCACTATTTTTAAGATCTTTAATTATATTAATTTATTTAATCCTCATGATAATCCTACGAGATAAATCCATTTATACAAATGGATGACAAACTGTGTCACATGGTAAAAAGTACTAACCGCTTCATTCATTCTTTTTCTTCCACAGTCTCTTACAGAATATACTATAGCTATTTTGCCTCAGATATTTATTCAATGTACTGGGTTGTCGGAAAATTCATGATGTATTTTTTCTATGTTTTTCATTGCAAAAATGCATCATGACTTTTCCGACAACTCAATAGTACTGTTTTCTTTTTTCTCTGAGGACTTCTGTGCATTGAAGATCCACAGCTGCGTGAATCTTATGGGTGTCAACATACTGAAGTGTATTTAAGATGTGTGTGCAAATAAGGTTGAGGAAAGTGTTAAGGAAGTCAGAATGTATTTAAAAACATTATATCAGGGAATAATAAACCAAGTAAAGCCCTACTGTGAATAGTAAGATAATTCTTTTCTTACAGACTAACCAAACTGTGAGGTCACTTTGTATAAGGGAGAACGTAAGCGATATTTCAATCAAGTTTACTTAATGTCTCAATATTGGATATTATGATTAAAAATACACTAATATTAAATAGTTTATATCCTGTTTTGAAGCACATTGACTTGCTTCTTCCAGTTGGTCTTATCTATGCCCAGCATCCCTACTTCCTATTAATGTGGATTTTTAAGGGTTGACTTAAAAACAAGTATGAGGTGGGTGAATCAATTTGTAGTAGCATATGAATTAGTGTACTTGGGTGATGATGTTATAATGCCCTTGGGAGTTCCTCAGGTCTCAGTCCTGGGTCTCTTTCCATTTGAAACGATTTCCCCAATCTCTCATCCTCATAGGGAGCTGACAATGTCCACGTTTAAATAGCCAGTTCAGCTTTGTGATGCTCCCAATCTGAATATGAAACTGCCAACCGGCTATTTAAAAAACTCCTCAAACTCAATATGTCCAAACTAAAGTCAGGATTTCATGTACTCTGTTTTCATGAATGATACCATTTATCCTCTAGGTGTACAAGCCCTACACCTACGTGCAGATATTAGAAATCCTTCCACCTTACATTCCACATCCAATTCAGTACCAAATTGTTAATAACACCTCCTAAATCTCTCTCAATTTT